TGTCCAGTGTGTTATTCTTGCCATTGTTTAGATGCTAACATGTTTACTGTAGAAAGGAATGATTGACTATTCAGAAGCTATGGGCCAATACTTTGAACTCATTTTCCTTTTGAAGTTGTGTCCTCTGTGTAGATTCTTTTTTTGTCAAGTATACAATGAAAGAATGGAAGGCAAATACACACATGTAGCATACAGTCATATAATTTTAAATTACAGTAGTAACATTTTGAATAATATTGTGTAACCCATACACTGTGACAGTGAATGTATTGTATTGATCTATGGCGCCCTCTCCTGGCTAAATACAAGTATGAAAATAAAACGCTGTACCAAGAGCACAACAGAGACGACATAAAGAATAAAATACGTATTTAATGTAAAGGAGAGATGAGCCAGTTTGTGTAAAATTAAAATCTAATAAAATAACGCGTTTTTTTTTTTATTTTTGAAGTACCTTCTTTCCTTTTAATTTGAAAAGTCACGTTGACGTCTCCGGAAACGCGCTCGATTAGCATGTAGCATCGTGGCTAGTCTCTTGATGTCTCACAAACACGATTTAATGATTTAGAGTTATTTTGTTTTGTTATACTTACAAATACAGTACTATATGTTCACATATAATTGTATGAACGTGGTAGTAGATTCGTTGTACTTTACAATTAGCGTCCAAATGAGCAAAATACAATCCGACTTCTGTAACTATGTTAGCATGAGGCTATCGCAATGGTAGTTTCCGATGTCCAGGCATACCAGCTGATCATTTGAAGCCAGGATTTCTCTTAATACATTTCGTTTTATGTATTTCGTTTTTAGTGGCATTTTTCTCACTAATCCGAAGATCCATTACAGATTACATGATGTATGAGCAACGATGGTTTGTATTGTATTGTAGTTATCTTTTAAGTTTTACGCTAGGATTGCACGTATCTGGTCCCATGGTGTAATGGTTAGCACTCTGGACTTTGAATCCAGCGATCCGAGTTCAAATCTCGGTGGGACCTCGTCCTTTTGCCATCAAATAATGAATTACTATAATATTATATCCATTGATATATTTATGTCTCGGGTCTTCAAATAATTCCGAATGAATGCAAAACTATTGTCCATAAAGAGTTTTTATTGTATTCTTCCTGGTCAAATGGTATTAAGTCAGATCAAATAAGTTTGATTCTTGTTTTAAAGACATAAACTCTGAAGTGTTTTCAGAGATTCAGTGCATATGTTTTTGAATTTTTAAGACTGCAAACGTCAGTCATTACACCATGTTTCACACCAGGGTCATAAATGTATCCCTATTCTTCCCAGTAGGAATAATATTAGGCAGAATAAAACCTGGCCGTACACATTATTGATGTCTTTGTGGTTTGTTCCAGTTGGGTATTTTTCCTAGATTTGACTCCGTGTGGATATACTCATTTTATGTTATTTTTGTTCATTGCCTCGTCACGCATGTGCAGTCAGAGGCCTATGTTTTAGGCATTAGTTTACTGAATCTTTTTCTATTTTTTGCTCATGTCGGCTTAGTCCATATAACAAAGTTCCTATAATAAAACACTTTTGAAACTATTGACATTTGTTTTTTCTTTTCAAGCGTACCCCAAAAGCACTTCCTATAAGTCAAATGTATCGACCGTTTTGTTGATACTCAGGGAATCTCATCTAATGTCCTTATAAAGCATCAGTGTTAGGAACAATGATATTATTGTTAGTGTAAATCTACTATGTACTTGATAAAAAAAATAAGCCAGACCTCTGTATGTTTTACTCCACAAAGAAACCTTCCATTAAATTTACGAGTTTAATTATCAGACTTCTCACCAAATATCTCTATTACTCACCCAGTTTATTCTAAAAAGCTGCTTATGCATACATCGCTGCACAGAGAATAGAATAAAACAAACAAATGCGTTTTACAGTTTACATACAATAACTTTATTTGTTCTCATCCACCACAGAAGTGTAAAATATATTAGGTTCTTTACATACAAAATAATACAAATAATATGAAAGTAGCAAAGAGTGTGTGACTGGTACTGCCTGGTAGAAAACGCATACAAACACTGAAAAAAGCTACATTTGACATCGTACCATCACAAATATGACTTAAACATGTTGGATTGTGTTTTAAGGCTGTGGCTGTTTTTAGTTGTTGGACCCAGTTTTACACCAATTATGTTTTTGTAGAAGCACTTTTTAGACACATAAAAAACACATTGAGTTTTCCTGTTCATGGCATATTTATTTGAATATGACCAACAGTACGATAATACGGTTTGTGGTCTATAGAGTTGTTATTAAAGCTTCTTGTGCATTTGGACATGATCAAAATGATAGTCTCAAAACCAATATCTCCATGAGTTACAGGGGATTTGAATTACAGACATACTGTCGTGACTTTAAGTCATTTTAAACTTAAATAAAAATCATTTTTTGAAAGATTAAAACATCAAAAACGCCAATATTTACTCCTGAATTAAAAAGTAATGTTGTTTGTACGTGTATTGATGAACTACATAAAAAAATAGCAAAGAATTGTGGGTAATCTCTTAGAAAACAACATAGAATCAGTCTGCACTAGATTAAGTCTGAAGAAAGTGAAGTAGCCACTAAACATACGCCCATGTAAAACAAAATATTTTGTTTCAATCTAAAGTTTCACTTTAGATTTAAAAAAAAAAGTGTTAATATGTTTAACAGAATAAAATAAACATATATGTATATATATATGTCCTTGCTGTTCTTGTTTTTCCTGTGTTCGAACTGTTTGATTCTCTGATCAGTTGTTAGCAAATCGACAACTTTGTAAAGTCCGCCGCACAGCTGTTGTGATTTAGGGCTAAATAAATGTAATTTAATAAAAAAAATTATTAGTGCATTTTTGCAGCACTTTATAAAGGCAGAACAAGTCTCAGTTGTAGATTTCCTTCCCAGTTTGTCATCAATGAAAAAAAATAAAAATAAAAATTTACAAAAAACTGTAAAAATCTAAAATGACAAATCATCCTCCAGTTTTCATTTGTTGCCTTTTTCAACCAGTTCGACGTTTCTTAAACTATTTTCTCTATACTTCCAAAGCAACCAGCACCAAAAACACTAAAATAATATTTACAAGTTCTGAAATCTGTCATCAAACCTCATTGTCGTGGGATACAACTAAAAACACAGGAATCGTCCAGTTGTTGCACCATTTTAACAAAACTCATTATAAATTCATCCAGTTTGTGACACAGCACAAAGTCTTTAAAGCTGGGGTACCTCACTTTTCTTTCTTTCATGACACATGTTGTTTGCCCCAATAGAAAGAGTCTTGTAAAAGTAAAAGCCCCATATCCTGTTCTCTTCATGTAATGCATAGTTGTAAAGAGCCCTGTGAGTCACTATTTGGGCTGAGAGCTGATTGGCTGAGTGAGGGCGGTACTCTCTGACTGTTCTGTCTGAAGGAACTGATCTAAAGATGTGACAGAGGCCAAGATATTGCGCATGCATTTGGAAACTAGTGATAGATCTGTGTAATAGAATCCTTGTCACTAGTTCCTGGCTGTAAAACACTTACATTCTTGTGGTTTGGAAGTTGCGTACCCCAGCTTTAATACTGTAAATTTAAAAATAAAATAACAGACACTATGTAGCTCGACTGAAAAAGCAAACTAAACAGAGCTATGAATGTATAAATATGTGGTTATGTGGAATTGTGTTTTAATTTTGGGATGAGTTTTTGATTGTGATATAATATGGATTGTCTGATTCTTGAAATTGTAATGAATATTTTTTTTGGATAAGCAGAGGTACAGACATGTCATGAATAAAATCTATTTCTGCAGTATCATTCGTTAATCTAAAGAAACAAGACATCAGTATAAATATTGTTTGTAAAAAGTCTTCATTTAAAATAGTGCCACTCCGTTTGACTCAATATAAGTCTAATACCGTTTCTGTATAATACTTTTAAAACACTTAAATGCACTTTCCAGCCTCCAGGGGGCGACACGAGTCCAAACACATAAAGGACACAATATTCTGCTGAACTGAACTTTCCTCTATTTTAAACATGTTACAACGTTGTTTTTTAGATTATTCCACATTATTTATCATGAAGAAATTTCACCCCACTCACAGAACGCTCCATGTTCAATCCGACTGAGCTCTTAGATCAGGGAGCGGGTCCTTAAAGTTTCTCACTATTTCCCCACATAGTTTAGGAGGGTCTAAGGACAGTGATGATCCGGAGCATCAGGGACTTTAGTTGTAAAAGACACCATACTACAGGACTGAGACTGGAGTCACATGTTTGTGCCACAAGTTCCTGATAATATCGTGGATTGATCTAAAAACTCTAGGTCGGAGACTGATGAGAAACTATGTTGTAGCGTGGTTAAACGCTCAAAAAAGATAATAATAGAAAAAGTTTGGGCACCCCTCACCATTTTGGTTTCTTGGATAATTCTGGTGGAAGGTATTTTGGAGCATTGTTCTTTGCTCTAGATCAGTCTTAGTTGACATAATTGTATCTAAATTCCCAAATATTAACATCCTCTTTTTGTCAAAATTTGGGACATTCAAATATATTATGACTGTACAGAGGTCTTACCCAGGTCCACAAAGCTCTTCCTACCACTGTATTGATTGAAAAACGTGGGAATCCTCCTTCATTTATCCCAACCGCTGTCAGACTGTACAACAAGTCACTTTAAGTCACTGTATAAGACTGAAAGAACCTGCACTACTATTGACACTGTTTCTGATTGCCACTCTTTAAATTGCCACTTGACACTTTTGTTGTACATAATATATCCTGCATTTAACATGTTTGCACATTTCTTTCTTTTTGCACAATCTTGAGTGTTCTATCCGTGCCGATGTGACATGTACATTTCTCCTTTGTGAGATAAATAAAGCATATCTTATCTTATCTTATCTTATTTGTTAGCAAGACAGCGGCTCTTTTGTGAACCCGAGATTAAATCTGTGCATAATGTATAAAAACCCAGTTATTTTTGCTTCTATCTGCGTAAATGCGGTGCTAACATGACTTTGTTGATGAAGTTGACGATAGCCACGGCCGGCTGCTCCGGGTCAATCTCTGCGAACAGGTGACACATGTTTCCAGACGAGCTGCCGGTGCGACGAGCCACGAAGCCAAACATTCTGAGGGGAAACAGTCCAGACAGGTCAGACCAGACGTACAGAGAAACCATGTGGGTATAATGTGATGAAGATTCTGTATTTAGGATTAAGGCAACATTTAAAGCCATGCAGACGTCACAGCGATGAAACCATAGGGCACTTTATCAGATCCACTGTGTTTCTGATGTAACTACGAAACTGGACTGAGGCCTCATTCACACCACGGACTGTATATTAGGACGTCTCCATAGTGTTAGCATTAAACACACAAGAGGTCAGTTAGAGATAGCTCTAACCAGGAAAGTCCCGTTGAGATTAACCTCTTTTTCAAGAGTGTCCTGGACTACCACAAAACATATTAAACACCAGGATTTAAGACAGCGCTAAACCATTGATATTTAAGCCTAAAATGAAAAAAGTGAGTGTGAAATGAACGGATACTGAACTCAATATAAGTCAATAGGAGCCAGAGCGACTTTGTCCATGAGCACTTCCTTATTGGGCTTAGCATTGGGCAGGTTAGCATTGTCTATCTATACACAGTCTATGGTTCACACTCTTTCAGACCAGTTTAGTCGCCACATAGACTTGGTTTGATCCTTTACCAGTTTTAGTGGTCTGTGTTGATACACACGCATACACACGCACACCACATCTTGTCAGGACAACACAACACACTTTTATCTGAGACTATTGTTTAACACTAGAACTGCCACAATCATGAACCTTCTAGAACTCCCAGAGCCATCATTTTGACTGTTCCCCAAAAATTCTCCCAAAAATGTTTAGTATTTCACCAATTTTATCAAGGAATGTATATGTGTTAGTATTAGATAGCAATATGGCCTACGTGCAGGACTCTACAAGGACTCCATGTTATGACTATGATGTGCTCTGTCTCTTTGTGACACGTATGTCTTTCGATGTGTGACGTGACAATGACTATATAAACTGTGTACTGCCTTTATTCTGTCTGAGAGAAAGAAACAGAGTAAACCAGTGGAACTTGAGAGAAACTTAAATAAACTTCCAGAGTTTGGCACACCACGATCCGTTTCTGTCTGCTTGAATCCTAACAGATTTGGTGGAGAATGCGCGGCTCGGTTTGTGTCATTCTCTGGATTGTTTTGAGGGAGTTTTGCTCTGTTTCTTTTCCTCTGCGTGAGAGATCGGCATGCTGTGTCTGGGAGCGGAGATTCCAGCAGGCTGGAAGAGCTGTTCCTGGATGCTTCTTGTCGCTTCTGTCACTTTTGTTGTTTAAATTGAATTTTTCGACGCGGAAAAGATGTTGGTCGACCTCTCGAACAGTCCGGACAAAGAATTAAGGTAAGCAGACACCTTTTTTAATATGTAAAGTCTGCATAATTGGATACTAGCTAAATTTTGAGCTGTCCCGGAGGTCTGTCCAAATCTCTCTAAATCAAATTTTCTTTGTTGTGTCTTTGTCACGTCTTTGTCATGTCTTATGTTGTAGAAAACAGGTTAGCTGTGTGGGTAACCAGTCCCTATAGGAAAAAGGAACCCCTGACGTATCGGGGTCCCTGTCCTTTGAAGTAGTCAGGACAGAGGGAAAAAGGAACCCCTGATGTATCGGGGTCCCTGTCCTTTGAAGTAGGCAGGACAGAGAGAGAAAGGAACCCCTGACGTATCGGGGTCCCTGTCCTTTGAAGTAGTCAGGACAGAGGGAAAAAGGAACCCCTGATGTATCGGGGTCCCTGTCCTTTGAAGTAGGCAGGACAGAGAGAGAAAGGAACCCCTGACGTATCGGGGTCCCTGTCCTTTGAAGTAGTCAGGACAGAGGGAAAAAGGAACCCCTGATGTATCGGGGTCCCTGTCCTTTGAAGTAGTCAGGACAGAGAGAAAGGAACCCCTGACGTATCGGGGTCCCTGTCCTTTGAAGTAGTCAGGACAGAGGGAAAAAGGAACCCCTGATGTATCGGGGTCCCTGTCCTTTGAAGTAGTCAGGACAGAGGGAAAAAGGAACCCCTGACGTATCGGGGTCCCTGTCCTTTGAAGTAGTCAGGGCAGAGAGAAAAAGGAACCCCTGACGTATCGGGGTCCCTGCCTTTGGAGTAGCCGGGGCAGAGAATAGAGAATAGAAAATAGTTAGTGAAACCATGGTGTAAAATTTAAAGTTATAATAAAAAGGGAAATGTTAAACACTAAAGAGTGCCTTTTGTTACAAATGTGGAAAGTGATCATTTCTAGACTTGGATGACAAAAGTATAAAGAACAACATAAGTTATATTTGCTTTAAAAAGTAATCTTGAAAGTTCTTCTTCTGTATCTTTTTGCCTGTGTGTGCACATCTCTATCTGCTGCCGTTGTCAGGGAAACGGCCCCCACCTTCGCTGCTCTGGCTCTGAATCAGAGCTACTGCTTTAGGATTTTTGGCTTTTCATAGTTGTTATTCCGTTAAATTTGCGAAATTTGCCATTGAACATTGTGTTATGACACAGTTAAACGTTTTTAAACACCATTAGTGAATAAGTTTTGAATTAGTATGTTTTTGAAACCCAAAGATTAGTGCTAAAGCTGTGCAATTCTTTTTAGATCTAACATATTTCTAGATTCCATTCTTTTTAAATCTGCTGCTTATTTCTTAACTTTTTGTGAGTTGTGTTTGTTTTTATGTTTTTATTTTAATTACAAAAGCCGTTTTTCAAAACATTTAAATTAGAATCCGTGTTAAAAGTGATAAGAATGATTGATTTATAGAGTTTGTGTAAAAAAGAAAAGAGGGATTAGGAATAGAACAGGATAGCTGTAAAAGTATTATTAAGTTAAACTGTGACCCAATTCACAGTCTAAAAGCTGTGAGTTTTGTGAGTTTTGTTTTGTCTATAGCTCTGGCCTTGCAGCTGCTGCTCACTGCAGAGCGAGCAGAGTTTGATAGTGTCTTCCAATTCAAAATGTTTTTAAAAGTTTATTGAGTGCATTTGAAGAATGCAGCAATTATCTTAAATTAGAATATATGCTTTAAATGTTCAAGTGTAAAAGGGAGATTTTTCATACAGTTTTAGTTGCGATTTGAGTAATAATAATAATTCATTCTATTTTATGGCGCATTTCAAGAAATCCAAGGACGCCAAGATTAAAAACATCACACAGTACAGAAGTACAAAATAGAATACATTTTTTAAAGTTTAAAAAGTTTAAGAGATTTGAGTCTTGTTTTTTATTAAGCGTTTCTGGTCTTCAAATGTCATCATTAGTAAGATAATAAGTAATCTTTTATTTACATAGCGCTTGGGAAAACCCAGAGCGCTCCAAAATTGTTTTGACTTTAGGGAGAAAAACAATCTCATTCGCATACTGATATCTATTGTTTTTTTAAATTGGCCGTCTCAAGGATTGTTTTTCAGACTCTGCCTCACTGTACGAGAGGTCACTGCTGGACACTGGACAGCGCAACGCCCACCCAGCCACAGGCCACAGAGCTAAGAGCAAAGGGCAACAATGCCACCTCTACGCCCCTCCCCCCACTACAGAAGTAAGTGGGAGTGAGACCGGGGCCACAAAGTGGAGGTTTCTGGAGGCAGTGATGGGTGGAGCATCAGGTAGAGACCTAGAGGCAGTTGAAAGTGTGTCCAGTTGGTTTGCATCACCACAGTGTGACCTTTGACACCTACAGGTGGTTCGAGGAGTCTGGAGAAACAACCCCAAAATTCACATACACACACACACACACACATACACACACATACACTCACACATTCACATTTACATATAGATACATGAAAAAGCAGAACATGAGAAAAAAGCATTTTAAAAGTTTACTCCAATGTAAACACATATTTTTAATTGTCTATCACTTGAATCTTTAGTTGAATCAGTATTTTTTGAGACCAGAAATGTTCATTTGAATTCTATATTGTCATGGACATAATTGACCTCTGTCCTGACACTTTTGATTTGTTGATTTTGTACTGTGTGAAGTAATTACATTGATGAGAATTAGATCTGATAAAAACACAAATTAGAGAAGTAAACTGCGCTTGCTTTTTGTCTGAGGGACATTAGCAACAGCATGAATAGAATTTGTGTTAAAGTAGAATCAAAGTGACTTAACCATAGAGAGTAACTACTGCATTACAAGCTGTGTACAGGAACTGAGACACTGCACCATTGACCAGAAGTGCATCGCAAATGACCTGATGCGCTTCAAGTGAAAAGACTGTATCTGGAGATCTGATGTGCATCTGGAGACCAGAACCAGAACCATGGCTTGGACCCTACTGATGACCAAGATGACATCTCTCTATGACCTGACCTGATGACGACTGAGACTCACCCTCAGGGGACCTGAGGACCTGAGGACCTGAGGACCTGAGGACCTGAGGACCTGAGAGAGAGAAAACTGGGGAGTGATGTTTATATTTTTGAAATCATACATTGATGAGTGCTAAATGAGAGAGATACTCATGATTCTTTCTTTTGTTTTTGTTTGTGCCTAGCTTCTGGACATCTGATGATCTATTGGACACAGCCATTTGCAGAACAAGAACCAGCCAATGAAAACGTCTATTGCCGATGCTATTGCTACAACCGGAACCTGTGACAAATGCAATATACATGTTAAGTATTCAGACATCTGACAGACAAAAACTTTGAAAATGATAAAGTATAAGTATTGTAGCGTTTTAGTAGATGTTAAATAGTAGTAAAAAAGTAGAATTTGACTTCCTTTGTTTTTCATAAACACATTTCCACATAAGAATTAAAATAGTACCCTACAATGTTATCCTTTTGATAGATCAGCTATAATATTAGAATCAGAGTATTTTAGAGATATTAAAAGTGACAGAAGTCACAAATTAGAAATATGCCTTTGCTCAAGCTGCAACCGAGCTTTGGAGTTAAAAAATAGAGTAAAAATAGAGATAGATAAATGCATCAACCATAGATGCTTTCAAAAATAGAGATTATTTGTAGCCAGTGCTAATATCAAATGGTAGAGGGACCATTTCACAAGCATTTACTTAAAAAATAGATAAAGTTAATTACAGTTTTATGTACAGTTTTATTAGATACTGCCAAATTCACTTGTGTTCAAACATCTGTGAATGTTGACAATACAAAAAGTTCATGAAAGTAGCTTAGATCAATGAGATAGATTAGCACCAACAGAGATTCAAAAGCATTTAAAAGCATTTTGATGTATTTGTGCATAGCACAAAAACACAATAGTAGATATTTAGATATTGAGAAGTTTCCAGCACAAACACCATTGTAGAATAACTGACCCCAACCCCAAACCTGCTAAAATCGATTAGCTCTTGTAAGGATAATACAATTTGATTAATGATGTTCATTCATCCCAAACTGCCTGAGAGGAGGAAGTGACATCACTTCCTGGTTCAACAAATGTATTTGGAAAACTGACCGCCATAATAATGTTCATATTAACCATTTGTCTTTCTGTGTTCACAGTTTTATTCCTGAGAATGTAGAATAGACAGAGCAAAATCCCACTGATAATGAGAGTGTAAAACCACAGAGAAATTTGTTGGATTAAAATGTATGTTTAAGAATATGGCTCAATAGAAGCAAATATGCAAACATATTTGTGAATAGATTAGAATAGTTTTAAACTATAGTGAATAGTGAAAGTAAAGTACACAATCTAAGATTAAATAGTGAAAAATACAGTGAAGTGAAGAACAATTATCATTAGAATAAAAGTATAAAGTAAGAAAAGTGAAATTAGCTTCTAATTTGAGACTCAGCTCGTTTTTGTCTGTGTTTTGACTGAATCTGCTGAGTTCTACTGTGTCCAATAGTGTTTGTTTGTTTTTATTTTTGATTTGTTTTTGTTGTTTTTTGTTTATTTATTTACTTTATTTTGATTTGTTTGTTTATTTGTTTTTTTTTTTCCCAGGATAGAGGATAAAATCCACTGATATTGATTTGATGATTATGAGTTTAATGCATACATTTTCTTTGTTTTTAATAATTTTTAAAAGTTTTTTTTTAGAATTTTTTTTTTTCCTTTTCCACTTTATTGATTGATCGATTTGAGTGATCACATGTGATTATGTGATCAAAGGGGAGGGTGTTAGTATTAGATAGCAATATGGCCTACGTGCAGGACTGTACAAGGACTCTACAAGGACTCCATGTTATGACTATGATTTGACTGTCTCTTTGTGACACGTATGTCTTTCGATGTGTGACGTGACAATGACTATATAAACTGTGTACTGCCTTTATTCTGTCTGAGAGAAAGAAACAGAGTAAACCAGTGGAACTTGAGAGAAACTTCCAGAGTTTGGCACACCACAATCCGTTTCTGTCTGCTTGAATCCTAACATATGTTTAAGAAAAAAAAAATCTTTTACATCATTTCAAAAAGTGCTAAAACTGGTAAATATAACTTGAAATACAGTAAAAACAGTTTTTTGGAAGGCTAGTGCTAAAAACCAAATGCTAAATGCTAAGTGCTGATAGGAAACAGTGTTGCTATGGTAACCAGTACTCGCTCTTCTCTGGTGGAAAACAAAGCTGAACCAGAATCAGTCCAGGACCCAAACTTGCTACAGTTGATTTTTAGTTAAAAGGTAGAACTAAACAAATAGACATAAGAAGTCACAAAGTTATGAAGATCAAAAAGGTGCATATGCTAAGTAAATTATTGATTGCACTTTCAAAGCTAAAAGCCGTCAAATTGACTGCTCTGGGAGTTCTAGTGTTAAGTGAAATGCTCCAAACTGGGATGTTACTGGACAGAACGACACCAGCCCTACAGAGTGAGCCTGATAAAGCGCCCCTTGTTTTCAGCATGACGGACAAAGACTTACTTGCAGCCGGACGTGTTTTCAGAGTTAGTCCACCTTCAGCACAGGTCAGAGACAGAGACACAAGCAGAAAAGAGCTGAGCCAACGCACATATTCACTCATAAAAGTCACAGATGACACAAAACTGCTGCTTTTAGCACAAGAAATGCACAATCTATCATCATATGTTATCAGTGTTCAGTGGCTGCACGTGGGGACCAGAACATTCTACCAAAACTAATTCATCAGGACCACGTTATGGTCTGGAGCTCAAGCAAAACTATTATTTAGGCAGAAACGTGGGAGACAACTGCGTATCTTTAATTATTTTTAAGGTTCAAAATACAGAACCATGTAATAATATACATGTCAATAGTCGAATTTTCTTTTTTTCCATTCTTCAGGCAGCTCACTCCAGTATCAATAATTAGTAATATTGCCTTATCTAAATAAAAAACAGACAAATTATCATAAATGTTGTTTGACAGCTAGGAATCTAATAATGCATTAATATCTATAACGTAGTGTCCTTAATATTATTATTTTAAGAAGCAGACACACACAACAGAGCAGATATCAAGCAAGGGCGCATACGCAATCAGAAAAGATGAAAAAAGATATTTGGACAGGACAGAAATATACAGTAACTATAAATGATTTTGTAGAAATAAAGATTGTAAATGTACCTTTTGTCCTGAGGGTCCAAACTGCTGAATGTGACTGTGTTGATGGGATAATGTCGTCTGAAAAACAACCTGGACAAAACCACAATATATCTAACTTTATCCAGTTACTGTATTTTCAGAAATAGGAAAAATTAAGGTGGTTGCCATAGGGATGAACTCTTCTAAGCAAAAAAACTAAATCTTTTGACTGGGGAAAGAAGACAGTCTTGTCTCAGTATACAGGTACATGCAGACCTCTCTGTCTCAGTATACATGCAGACCTCTCTGTCTCAGTATACATGCAGACCTCTCTGTCTCAGTATACAGGTACATGCAGACCTCTCTGTCTCAGTATACATGCAGACCTCTCTGTCTCGGTATACATGCAGACTTCTCTTTCTCAGTATACATGCAGACCACTCTTCCCTCAGTATACATGCAGACCTCTCTTGTCTCGGTATACATGCAGACCTCTCTGTCTCAGTATACATGCAGACCTCTCTGTCTCAGTATACATGCAGACCTCTCTGTCTCAGTATACATGCAGACCTCTCTGTCTCAGTATACATGCAGACCTCTCTGTCTCAGTATACATGCAGACCTCTCTGTCTCAGTATACATGCAGACCTCTCTGTCTCAGTATACATGCAGACCTCTCTGTCTCAGTATACATGCAGACCTCTCTTGTCTTGGTATACATGCAGACCTCTCTGTCTCGGTATACATGCAGACTTCTCTTTCTCAGTATACATGCAGACCACTCTTCCCTCAGTATACATGCAGACCTCTCTTGTCTCGGTATACATGCAGACCTCTCTGTCTCAGTATACATGCAGACCTCTCTGTCTCAGTATACATGCAGACCTCTCTGTCTCAGTATACATGCAGACCTCTCTGTCTCAGTATACATGCAGACCTCTCTGTCTCAGTATACATGCAGACCTCTCTGTCTCAGTATACATGCAGACCTCTCTGTCTCAGTATACATGCAGGCTAAGACCACTCTTGCACCTGCGTTTGCTGTCGGTTAGCGTAACTCCCTGGGCGGACACTTTGAAGTGGACCACGGTTGCCACGGGACGCGGGATCAACGACAGCGTGACTTTGGACGCCTTGGAAACCGCCTCTGGACCAGTCAGAGTCTCAGTCTCCACCGAGTTCAGGTACAAGACGTTGCACGCTGAAAGAGACAACAGCACGAAACATAAACACGAGAACTCCCAAAGCAGTCAATTTGATTTTCTCTTCAGTATGTTGTCAATTTGTATCAGAACTGCAAAGAATATATCAATGTCCTCTTTTTGGCAAAATGTGGGACATTTAAATATATTATGACTGTGTGGTGGTCCAACCCAGGTCCACCCCAGGACTAAACTATGTCTAACCCAGGTCTAACCCAGGTCTAACCTAGGTCTAACCCAGGTCTACTCCGGGACTAAACTAGGTCTAACCCACATCTTCCCCAGGAATAAACTAAGTCTAGCCCAGGTCTACCACAGGACAAAACAAATTCTAACCCAGGTCTGCCCCAGGACTAAACTAGGTCTAATCTAGGGCAAAACTAAGACTAAACATGGTCTAACCCAGGTTTAACCCAGGTCTAACCCTAGGTCTTACCTGCTCCCTGCCGCAGTAAGGAGGCTGCGGTGCTGGTGCTGCTCACACTCTGAATCTCCTCCATTTCTCCCACCAGATCTGAAACACAACAAGGAAAACAACATTAGACTAAATAAACATATTATTTTTAGTTTATATGAGAAATATACTTGACTCATGTTGGCATGTACTTGCTCTTGTTAATACATTTTGGAGTATGTTTCCTTACCATTGCTGGTATTTGCTGTTCATTACCATTGTTGGTATTTCTTTTTTTAAATTGTTTTTGCATGTAGTTTCTTTTTATTTTTTTATTATTATTATTTTTTACATTTGTCCCTGATGACATTTTCAATAACTAATTTTGCTTATGAACAATATGTTTAAGATTTTGATATCTGTGCTAAATTTACGTTGGAGCTAAAACCGGAGCCTTTACTTTACTTTACCCTTGTAATGACTGAAGTAATTAGGGGTGGGATTAAATAAGTGTTCACTTCTTCCCACTCCTTTTCGAGCATCCATAAGTGTTATGTTAGTATCACTCACTCTTTTTGTTATTACTCCTTTGTTATATTTTGTACATGTACCTAAGTTGCTTGAACTAATTATTTCTATGCCCGCTTACTTGCTCGAAATGAATAAATAAATAAAATATAACCTTTTTCTGGGATGCGCAGGGCACAGGGCAGAGACACAGGAGTGATCGAATGCTGGAACACCAGAGCAGACAGACTTCCTGAAATCACACCGCAACAAAATACATCAGAAAATAACATTGTTTTATCAATTCAATTACATTTCATTTATTTTTGTATGGCCCTAAATCACAACAGCGGTCGTCTCAGAAGACTTTACAAAGTTCGGCGCCATTGGTCCTTATGGAGCGGGATGACGTGCCCTCAAATGTCCCTGATCACTGTCCTTAGACTGCATCAGCAAGGAACAACTCTAAAATCCCAGTGGTAAAAAAGTGAGAAACCTTGGGGATCTGCTCCCACAGATAGACAGGCTGCAGATCCAGGACTGGGGCTGCAGAGGCTGTAGATCCATGACTGAGGCCGTAGATCCAGGACTGAGGCCGTAGATCCAGGACTGAGGCCGTAGATCCAGGACTGAGGCTGTAGATCCAGGACTGAGGCTGTAGATCCAGGACTGAGGCTGTAGATCCAGGACTGAGGCTGTAGATCCAGGACTGAGGTTGTAGATCCAGGACTGAGGCTGTAGATCCAGGACTGAGGCTGTAGATCCAGGACTGAGGCTGTAGATCCAGGACTGAGGCCTTGTAAATCTTAAAGGCCTAAAACTAGTTGAAGAAAAAGACTAAGAGTAGTTTGCTATTATATATGTACTTTGTTCAGACTCAAAACTCACCTTTTCAGACTTCACATGACCAGTCACCCCAACACCTTTGTCTAGTTCTGTTATTTTCTGTTAATGCTAATGTTTGTGTCTTGGTTTTGTTTTTGATTGCACTCTGTTTTTAACCATGTTCGTACAGTGTCCTTGGGTGTTTTGAAATGCGCTTTTAAATCATATCTATAATTATTATCGTATTGGGTAAATGCTTTTACCATTAGATCGGCACAGAAACGGAGACAGTATTTGTCAACAATAGAAATGTCTTGACAAGATTCAACACAGAACGTTGTGAGAGGAGGAGGTGAAGCTTGTGCAGTGAGCTCCTGACAACATTGTTTTTGGACTTTAAACATGTCATTCTCACAGCTGAAAAGTTCACAAACCGAAGTAGGCCTCGTTCTGACAGCCTTTGATCTTCACTCCTCTCGGCCCGGTCTCGATGAGGAAGTGCCGGACCAGCTGCTCCAGAGGGTCTCCTGGTGGACAGAGAGAAGAGCGTGGATCATATGAAGTTATTTCAGATGGATATTGTTATTATATAAAGAGTTATATGTTATTTTATATACAAGGGATCTGGGTCCTTTAACCATTTGCATCAATAATGTGAATATTGGTTTGTTCTTAAACAAGATACAACGAAACTATTTCATAAGTTGGTGAATCAATATATTTTTCACAGTTTAATGGATCAAATCTTTAAACCTGAAAGATGTGATTTTGGACAGTATACAAAATGTGTTGATTTTATTTTTTCTGTGAATTATTTTAAAGTGAATGAAAAAAAGCCTAATACACATTAAACACCTCACGGTCAGAAAACAAGCCAATAAAAGCTCAGGTTCATAAAATTCTCCTCATAAATATTACATGTTGTTTGTCCCAACAGAAAGAGTCTTAAGTAAAATATTGTGAGCAAATCAGATCATAATTAACTGTCTTTACTAAAGTTCATATAGTTGTGGCTTGATAGTTAGGTACCAATCAATGTCTGACGAAGGGCCTCAGCCCGAAACGTTACAGCGTGGTAGGTAAATAAAATACACTGATTGGGAGCAACATAGCTGTGCGAATTTTTTTCACTGTTTTTACGTCTTGCATTTTTTAATCCTGCACGTTAGCCCAGACTACAGGGATGTGCAGCCTTATTTGAAATTTTCTTGATAGCTAGGTACCCCTGCGTCAAGTATGCAGTACCTTTATTGGCAGTCATGTTGGCGTTAGGGGGCGCTGTCTCCACTTTGAGGGCCAGTCCGTAGGCCCCTTGGAAGGAGTTACTATCCCGGATGAGGAACGATCCAGGCCTCTTCTCTTTCAGCACCGCGATGGCTGCAGCACAGAACACACAGCTCTAAACACACAGCTCTAAACAGCCTCCTCTGCCTTGCAGCCACTCACCCTGGTCCCTGGAGATCCCCGGCTTGTACCAGAACTTAGAACTGTCCTGGACGAACTTTGCATTGACCCGGATGTCCCCCTCCAACTGAGCGGACCCCCTCCTCTGCTCCGCTCCACTGACCACAAGCAACGCACTGTGGCTGGGTGCAGGCGCGGACGACACCCTGCGCAGACAACCAGAGCAGAGAGTAAACAAGTCAAATGTATTTATATGCTGTATTTCTCAGACTCCGATGGCAGTAGCAACCATCACTCATTCACTCACAGATTGTCAGTCAAGCTGCATATGGTATGGTAACTTGAGCACGACCCTTTATTCTTCCTAAATTTTCTGCCATCAATATGACTTCAGCTGTAGTCTGTTCATTGCTATTCACCCGCTGTCCCATTGTCTGTTGATGTGATGATCAGGCCTCCTTCATCGTTACCTGTGGACTGTCTTCCCCGCGGCCTGGACGCATTTATTTTGTGAGATCTGTTTGATTCTCTGATCTGTGCTGGCAAATCAACGGTTTTGTATAGTCCTCTGAGATAACTGCTGTTGTGATTTAAGGCTACACAAAAATAAATTGAATCATTACATTCAGATTATAGTACCATTTTTTAGAGGACTGAGAGTCAAAGTTTTTCAAATATATAAGTTGGTGCTCTTGTTGGATGGCATCTGCATGCTTGAAATTACATGAAAAATGATGTGGTATATAAATATCTTATAACCTGAAAAGCCCAAAGCCAGATTCACATGCGAGGAATCTGGCTTTCACATGTACATTATATCTGTGTTTGGTAATCATTACTCAAAGCTTATCGGTTATATGGTTGTGTCATAGAAACCTGATTTACACCTAAAAAGCTCCCTTGTCTCTCTTTCGTCTCTCTTTACTCCCTAATCTCCCTCATCTCTCTCATCTCTCTCGTCTCTCATCTACCTTGTCTCTCGCGTCTCGCTCTTTTCACTTGTGTCTACCTCGACTCACTTGTCTCCCTCGTCTCTCTTGTCTCGCTCGTCTCTCTCATTTCTGTACCTGTGCAACGCCGCGTGGCCGTTGGCTGCCTGGGTGAGGAGCGGGTTTGGGTTTGGGTTTGGGGGATTGGCTGCCCTCCTCTTCTGGGGCAGAGGCGGTTGGCTGGGGATGGTCACGGCGGTATACCCGGTGTAGGGCACATGAGGCACGTTCAGCAGAGGGTAGTAGTACGACGCCAGAGGGAAGGTGGGCGTGCTGTACCCGTCTGGGACAGGAGAGGGTGCTTTGGGCTCTGCTGTGAGGCCGCTGTGACTGGTTTGATCTGCGGAGGGCGAGGGGGAGGAGGGAGAGGACAGGGAGGAGGTGGGGCTGGGGGAGGTGTTCATGCCGTCACACAGGTTTGGTAAAGCAGAGCCGTTGATCTGGACTTGGACTGGGCTGTGGACCAGGTCTGGACTGGACACTGGGTCTGGACTGGACACCGGGTCTGGGCTGGAGACCACGTCTGGGCTGTGGTGATCTTGGCTTTGTGAAGGGGCGGGAGTGTCCGTGGAGCCAAGTTTGGAGTCTGGACTTTGAGCCGCGCTGCTGTCTGGAGTCACACTGAAAAAGAGAAGACTAGTTTAGAGCTGAGCAGCAATATCAGAGCTTAAACATGAACTTGAATTATAATGCACAGAACAGCCAGAATCCAGTCAAAACAGTTTCGCAATCCGGGTTATGTGCCCTTGGACAAGTCTGGTGAACTAAAATGGCCTTCTCATTAAAAAGTTTGGACCCCCTTGGGTTAGATGAACCAATATTTTCAAAATAACTTATTTGCGGTTGGCCCTATACCAAAATAGATCAGTGTCAAACATAACTGTTCACACATTGAATGTTTAAACCAAAAGAATAATAATTATCACCACTTACAACTAGATTGGTTAAAACCAAAAACCTGATGAAATGTCTGTCATTAGAGAGTAGTACCTGTCCCGTGTGCAGGTGGGGCTGCTGCTGATCACGGTGTAGTCGTGTTCAGACTCTGGCGACCTCTGATCCTCGCGCTCTGCTCCCGATGAGTCTGTGAGAGACAAGAGACAACACCTTATTATTACTACAAAGCATTTATCAAAGTATTCCTGTAGTTACTTCAATTCTCCAGGTCAGTTTTCTGTTCTGGAGAGCCTCCTTATTTGCAATGAGCTTTAGTGCAGACAGTATGACATTCTAAAGTTTACATAACCTCACATCATTAATCATTTTCTGAGTAGGATTGTGCCAAAAAGTAGGATTGTGTCTGTCTTATGTATTTTTTCAATGTGGCAGCCTGTGAGTCCAAGACACATTTCCAAAGGGACATAATAAATTAATCTTGAATCTTGAAAAAAATCTAAAGATGGAGACTAATATGTGAGACTCCAATGATGGTTCAGAAGAAAAGCACTTGTTCTTGCAGTGTTCTTGCCAGGAATGTGAAACCACATTATAATGGACATGGGGCAGTATACAAAAATTTCAAACATATTTTTAAAAGCAAGACTTTTTCAAATTGATAACAATAGTTGTAATAGTTCTGTAAGAGTTTGGGATAAATAAATGGTTTTGGATAAATCTCTTGGGACACAGTCTTGGAACTCAGACTGTCCCAGGTAATTAAGAGCCTCTCATTTGAGCTGTGGCGGGACCAGGGGCCACTCACCTGGGCTATGATGGCCTCTGTTTGGACTCTGGGGGGTTGAGGTCGGCTCCGGAGGCAGAGAGGCTCTCCCAGGGGATGGGGTGCTGGCCGGATGAGGGGAGTTGGAGCCGGATACGTAGCCTCGGCTCACAGGGCTGTCCGCGGTCCCCGTCTGAGAAGCAGCGCAGGAGAGACGCGGCTGGACACAGGAGGGCGCTCATGAGTTACATTTACACATGCTTGAAGTGGCACTTCTAGCAATTTCTCCAAAAACGTTTACATTGGTGCAAATCGTAATATAGACAGGGAACTTTGGAGGAGGGGAGAGGAAGATAATCCAAACACTAAATTTAACTTTTTGTAGTTGTACCCACCTCCAGCTGAGGGGGACAGTAGTATTCACTCCTACCCGCTTCCCTCACCTCGCTCTGGGCCAGTGGACTGAGGAAGACCTGGGGGGGTCCTGGAGCTCTGCAGGGGAACCTCCGCTGTTCTAAGGCTGGACTGGGGCTGACCGTCGCTGGGCAAGAGTGGAAGGCCTGAGCAGGGGGTTTGTGGTAATGCCAAAAGTCTGCTTCTCTTTGCCACGGATTCTCCCACAACTCCCTGAGGACAACAGTTAAAACAAACGCTAATTATAGATTTTATTATCGTTTCAGATGGCTTGGAAGAGGAATAAGGGAAAGAAATCTAAAAATTAATCCACAATTATCTTTATCAATTGTTTTCAACTGTCATATTGATCTTATGTCTTTAAAGCTCGGGTTCTTGGTCATAAAACTTGAAATACCACAGCTACAGCTAAAAACATGTAAAATAGGTCTAGCATGCAGCTTCTGTATGGTGACCTTGCTCCCATCTAAAGTAAGACACAAATGCCCAACAATTATAAAGCGCTTTGTGACACTGGCCAATGAAAGGCGCTATATGAATAAAGATTACTTACTACTACTACTGAATATAAACCACAAGGCTCCAGGTGTTGGCCGTCCCCTTTCCCCTCTGGAGCGTGGTCCCCTATGGAACCTGATTCCCTCTCCCATCTGGAGTCTGGACCCTCTCCCCTCTGGAGCCTGGTCCCCCTCTCCCCTCTGAAGTCTGGTCCCCTCTGCCCTCTTGAGTCTGGTCCCCTCCCCTCTGGAGCCTGGTCCCTGTCCCCTCTCACCTCTGCCTGGTCCCTGGAGCCCAGTGTGGAGCTTGGTCCTGTGTGGTGTGGAATGTGCGGGCCGGTCCCCTGGAGGAGCAGTCTGCACAGGGGCAGGGTGGAGCTGAGGGCCCGATGAACAGCTCCCTGTAGGGGCCTGAGGAGAGCGCAGGCTGGGACAGGTGCGTTGTCGGACCGGCGCTCGGGAAATACAGCTGGAAGTCCGACCCCGGGCAGAGCCTGGCTGAGGGGGGAAGGGGGTGGTCGATCTGGGGGTACTGGAAGCACTTCTGGAACACGTAGGGCTGATTCAGAGCCAGAGGAGCGAGAGAGGAGCGCTGCAGCGGGACGTCCTGACTGCGGCGATGGCAGAGCTCCAACTGAGAAGAGGACATCTGAGAAAGAGAAGAACATATTTATTCACATTTGACAGAACTTGCTTTAAATCAGACCCATGTAAACTAAATGACAGCTTGGGCTTTGGGATAGATGTGTTTTAGGGGCTGATGTTGCAGTGGTGGGTGTAGGTGCTGTCTCTCTGGCTGGGCCTTTGGCGTGGTAGGTGAGTACTATGGTGGGACTTGAGGTGTGGAGGAGACTGGCCGGCCTCACGGTAGCGTTCTTTGACGGTCTGGTGAGAGTGCTTTCTCTCATTCTGAATTGCAATTAAAACAAAAACAAAACTAAAAGCTCCCTTTGTCTAAAGGTAGAGTGAGGCAGTCACACGGGTGATAATCTGCTCTACTTAAAGTCACCTTACATTGTGTGCACCATGTGCACTTGTATATTGTAAATAGTAACTGTAACTCTATTTTAAATTTAAATTTATTCTTTAGAAGTGTTTTTTATTCTTATTTTTATTATCTCTTTTTGACTGTTGCACTGAGCCAAAGCAATTTCCAAGTCTGTGACCTCCCGTTACTTACGTTGGCAATAAAAATGATTCTGATTCTGATTCTGATTCTGATTCAAGGAGTGAGACTGTTAATCTAATAAATTAAGAAAATCAAAATTGAATAAATGAAAATAAATTGAAAAGGAAACCAATACAATTTATTTTGCGCTCTCTACTAAAGGAGATATTGTGAAAATATGTTGTATTGTGTTGAGGTAAAACAAAACTGTTGATTGTGGCTCATGAAGCTGTTGGAAGGCTGTAGTGAGTGTTGGCCTCTCTCTCTCCTGTGCGGATGGTCTGCTGCTGTGGGTTTGCTTGGTGCGCCTGGGCCTGGTGGGAGATGGCAGTGTCGAACTTACCGGTGCGCGTTGGCCACTGTGACACATTTGTTTCAAAGAAACATATATAATGTGTGTATGTATGTATATATATGTGTATGTGTATGTATATGTGTATATGTATATGTGTATATGTATGTATATATATGTGTGTATGTGTATGTATGTATATGTGTATGTGTGTATATGTATATATATATATATATATATATTTGTGTATTTGTGTGTGTGTGTATGGTTACATATTTATACATGACAAGAACAACTATAATATGTGTGTATGAATATTGTATATGTATGGCTATGTCTGTATGTATGTGTGGGCGGGTAGGTGCAACCGTATAAAGTGAATATAGGTATAGGGGGTGGGAGCCTATAAGTTTGACTTCTTCCCACTCCTTTTTGAGCTTTAACAGGAGTGAAAATAAATTAAAAGTGAAAATAAATAAAAATAAAAATGTATATATACATTAATGTATGTATGTATGTATGTAAATTTCTATCATGTATTGTATGTAATTGCTTTTAAATCTGTAAATTGATTCCTGTTTATAAGCTTGAAATAAAATCAATCAATCAATCAATCAATCAATGACAGATAAACAAAACAGCAATACATAGTTTGAAAAGGGGTCAGACAAAACAGACACTGCTTATTTGTTTCAAACCCTTCTCAGACACGCACACACACAAACTTCACACACACACACACACACACACAAACACATATGCAACACAAACACATGCACGCACAAAACCCAGCACACAGGCCCAAACACTCCCTGACCCTACACCTCTCCCCCATTCAGCTCTTTATTCTTGTTTTGCACTTTTTGCACCATGTTCTTGCAATAAAATCAGTCCAATACCTTGTTACCCTCTGTCACCGCCCTGGAGGCCAGCGCCGGCAGCGTCCGACTCTTGGGGATGTTGTTCTTCACACAGTTGCAGCGGTTGTGGCAGTGCGCGCTCACCAGGCAGGGCTCCTTCTCGCGCGGCGCACTCTTGTGGCCACTTTGGAAACAGCGGTGCTCTCTCTTCTCATCTGCGTCATCTAGAATGGCGGTTTCTCTGTGGTTCTCCTTCCTCTCCTCCGGTTCTTCAAGAGGAATGGAGGGCAGTGGGCGTGGGGCACTGGGGACGGGCCTCACTGTGGGGCCGTGTCGGAGGCTGCCATTGGTTCCAGAGGATTTGGGGGCGGAGCCAGGTCCTCGGCGCTTACGGACCTGAGCGTAGAGGCTGCCGTCGAGAGGGCCCCGAGTGTGACTGATGTCTGAGGAGAAGAGACCGAGAGGACACAAAGCACGAGACAGGATCATCAGAAAATAAATAACGGAGAAAACCATAGCACTCGGAGGAAACCTACATGGGTTATAACTGCGGAATGGCGAGCTGACCCAGTGTATGAATTTTAAGGTAAGTTTTAAGCCTTAAAAACATCTGCAATTGTGTAGTTCAATAATGTGTAGGCTTTCTATTACACTGAGGAACGTCCCAAACTAAGCAATAACATCTCCATGGTAACAAGCAGGTCACACACCCTTTACATTAAAATAGATGCGCACCCAACTTTTACTGTTAAAGTGTTGTGTGTGACAACTATGTGGCAAAGGAAGGGACGGACAGAGGCTAGAATTCCCGACTCCTCATCCTTCCAGGTCTCAGATTTAAAGTGGGTCAACGTCGCATCCATAAACTTCTTATTTAAACAGTTTTTCAGGAAAAGAAGATTTGGGTTCTGATGCTTTTATCAATCAAAAGTTGGTGATTTCAGCTTGTTACGTCAACTAGGAAAAGCACCTGGAAACAGCAGACCTCATTCCTTTAAAAGAGACATTTTTGAGGCTTCCTGAATTAAAACAAAACATCTGTTTATATATATATATATATATATATATATATATATATATATATATTAATTTGCCAATTAACCATTTTAACAGTTTAACAGACCCTGATGAATTAATAAACCTCTGATGTTTCCCCTCTTTCCAATTAATGCTGAGCAGTAGTATTACTGTAATTGTAATAGCAGTAGTCGCAGTAGCAGAACTATTATACTAGCATAAGTAGCAGTAGTAGTAGCAGCAGAAGCAGTTTCATTAGTTGTAACTTGTAGCAGTAGCAGAAACAGTACTAATAATAGTAGAAACAGTAGAGGGAGTAATAGTAGTAGCAGCAGCAGTACTCACTCTCTACACTGTCTTCGTGGTGCAGGTTGAAGTTCTCGTACGAGTCCCATCTCATCACTGCATCAGACACGTCGCGGTCCACTTTCACAGAGGACTCACTCTGACCCGACTCTCGACCTTCAAACGAGAAAACTGCTACTTAACTACTGTTCAAAATACTCGAGTACAACACTGAAGGTGAGGTGTGACTGAAATGACACCTTTGATTTTCTCTGGTCCGTTTGAGAACAGAAACTCCACTGTAGCGTCTGCGGGAAATCTGTCATCTGCAAAAACAAACGAGAGAAATTATTACTATCCTCAAATAGATGAAACAAAAAACAGCGTTGACAGGTTTGATTTAAAAAAAAGTGTCCAAGGGGCAAACAGGGCAGAAAAGATCTTTGAGGCTTGAGGTATATATAAGTTCAAACAAGAGCATCAGCTGTCTCACTCCTGCTCACGGCAAAAACGATCTGTGGCAGTAGTAGCAATAGGAGTGGTAGCAGTATCAGTATCAGTATTAGTAGTAGTAGTAGCAGCAGTAGCAGTAGCAGTATGGAATGAATTTATTATAAAAGTGTCTTTGAGTGTCCAAAAATGCCCTACAGTATATAAAACGGATGCATAATAATAAGTAGAACTAGTATTATCAATAGTACTCATAGTAGCAGTAGTAGAAGTAGCAGAAATATCAGTAGCAGTGGTAGCAGTAGCAGCAGTAGCAGTAGTAGCAGTAGAAGTAGCAGTAGAAGTAGCAGTAGTAGCAGTAGTAGCAGTAGCAGCAGTAGCAGTAGCAGTAGTAGCAGTAGCAGTAGAAGAAGCAGCAGTAGCAGTAGTAGCAGTAGCAGCAGTAGCAGTAGCAGTAGAAGTAGCAGTAGAAGTAGCAGTAGAAGTAGCAGTAGTAGCAGCAGTAGCAGTAGCAGTAGTAGCAGCAGTAGCAGTAGCAGCAGTAGAAGTAGCAGTAGTAGCAGTAGCAGTAGAAGAAGCAGCAGTAGCAGTAGTAGCAGTAGCAGCAGTAGCAGTAGCAGTAGAAGTAGCAGTAGAAGTAGCAGTAGAAGTAGCAGTAGTAGCAGCAGTAGCAGTAGCAGTAGTAGCAGTAGTAGCAGTAGCAGCAGTAGCAGTAGCAGTAGCAGCAGTAGTAGCAGTAGCAGCAGTAGTAGCAGTAGTTGCAGCAGTAGAAGAAGCAGCAGTAGTAGCAGTAGTTGCAGCAGTAGCAGTAGCAGTAGTGACCGTTGCAGGCGTGGTCCAGGTCTCTCTTCTTGAAGATCAGCTGAGCTCCGTGAACAGCGCACGAGTGAAACTGGATCCTGAAAACCTCCTCTCTCTCTGCAGAGCTACGTCTGTGGAAGCACTTCACCTGCAAATACACAGACACACACACACACACACACACATACGCGCACACACACACACGCAACACAGACACACACACAAACACGTAACACATATGTATTCTGTTTAAAAATACTTGATTTCTTTGTAAATTTCCACTTTCGACACTAAATAGTAACATATTAGACAGTGTAGCAGAACTCTTACTGGAGGCAAAGTACTTGTAACTCTTCTCACTCTCAGATGTGATTTTGTTCTCAGTTTTCTCTACCTCTTACTGCATAATTTAATGTGGTGCAGTTCAAAAGCCCTCGCTCACCATGATGTCTCCCTTCAGCAGCAGCGGCGGCTCCACGGTCACACACAGCTTTCGGGAGTTTCTGGAGTTTTGAGGGTCGCTGAACAGAGACACAATAAAGTTCAACATTCTGAGTCGTGTCCAAACCTCAGGCCTTAAACAGAACCATGACGGGACTCACTGCAGGCCAGACGTGTGGACCAGCTGCAGAGACTGGTACACCTTCACAAAGGGGAAGAAGCCTGCACACAGGACACAAGTACTGTTAAAGAAGTACAAGTACAAGACAGTAGTGATTATAGACATCACGGTATATTCATAATTATGGAGCTCTTCGCGAAAATTCACTGTGGTAGACCCGGCCGCTGCCGCCAGATCTACAAGCCTGCTCATCCTCTACTCATTACACCAGCAAAACGCCCACATCTAATCCACCAATAACCACCAGGACAGCAAGTTAAAAGCCGGAGACTCCCACTTCCCGGCCTTCTGAAGTCTGCAAACTTCTGAAGCCTGCAAGGTGCATGTCGCTAACGCTCCTGTTCGCAAATGCATGCGTTGTTCTGGAGGGGTCGCTTCTGCTCACGTGTTGCTCGTGCGCGTGGCCCGGCTGTCCTCAGTCTGGCTGCTCGTGGTCTGCTCCTCCTCCGCGTCCCTGCACCTGCTGTGGTTCGCGTGTCTCCACTGCTCTCCTCCTCTGCGGGCTCTTCTGCGGGCTGCTCCGCGGGGCCCCTCCGCTGGTTCTGTGCTGCTCGTTCCTCGTGGTCTGCTGCCGCGCACAGACGGTCTGGCGGTGCCGTGCATGTCCCTGCCTCCGATTGGCGGTGCCGCATTGTCTCGTTGCTTTTCCCAAGTCTCCTGGCATGTGAGTAGAGTGAGTGTGCTGACCGCGGACGGATTAATCCCGGAGTCTGGGCTGCAAGCGGCTGGTTTTTGCCCTACGCACTTGACTGCAGGCGTCAGTTTTTCGCCCCGTGCTTGGTCTGCAGGCTCCGTTTTCACACGTGTTTGAGCTAACTGAGGGGCAATGCATCTTAAATGGCATCAATCTCTATTGTCTGAGGGATATAAGAGGAGCAATGTGCATTAATTCAGATTCATGTTCTGCCACTTGCAGTAAAACCACGTTGGAAAAATGTGCAAAGACTACCCCATCGTGCTCCAGACGGCACACACCAGAGCTCTTGCCACGGCGCCATCTTTACAGCATTAATCTCATTACTCGCAGGTCACTATTGTTAAATGAATGTATTTAAATTCGTCTATCTGCAGGAGGAAGGAGGGGCCATGCATTTAAATAGCTAGGTCACTAGTATTAAATTGGGTAACTAAACTGCAGTTGTTGCATTTTGAAAGTGCAGCAGAAAGAAAAAGGGCCCAATGTGAATCTGCAATGGGTTTGAAGTGGAGTTGGAGCTAATGAACGCATGGAAAAGTGATCGTTCATGCGTATCTGCCATAACCAAAGCAGCAAGATGGCTCCAGGGGACATCTGTTATTCGCATGGGAATGTTTCGGATTCGGGTTGATTTATTTCCTCAGGCTCTTAAACAACCATGGGCATGGTTCTCTGACCGCCGCTGCTGCGGTCCCTGCTGCCGTTCCTACTGATGCCTGATCCCGCTGCTGCCTGTTCCTGCTGCCGCTCCTGCTGCTGCCTGTCCCTGCTGCCTGCTCCTGCTGCTCCTACTACTACATGTGCCGCTGCTGCTGTTCCTGCCGCTGCCGCTCCGCGGGCTCCCGGGCGGCACCTGTCTCTACGGCTCGGCTCTTTCAGACACGTATGTAACCTGGCTCACGGAGACAAGCGGGGCACGCTGGCGTGACACGTCTGTTTGTTCGTATGAATCGCATTGTGGTGCTACTGCTCCTGCTAATGCTGCTTCTGCTGCTTCATACTGCTACCGCTACTGCTGCTATTGCTGCCGCTGCTGCCGCTAATGCTGCTATTGCTGCCGCTGCTGCTTCATACTGCTACTGCTGCCGTGCTGCTGCTGCTTCTTTACTTTGACACCTCTCTTCACTTCGCATCTCTTTTACTGAAACACTAAACAGCTTCAACAATATTCTACTGCTGTGGCTTTGATACAGGATTATTGCTGTTATTATCTACGGATGCTGCAACCGCTGCTGCTGCTGCTGCTTCATACTGCTACTGCTGCTCCTGCTAATGCTGCTTCTGCTGCTTCATACTGCTACCGTTACTGCTGCTACTGCTGCCGCTGCTGCTTCATACTGCATCTGCTGCCGTGCTGCTGCTGCTTCATGTACTTTGACATCTCTCTTCACTTCGCATCTCTTTTACTGAAACACTAAACAGCTACAACAATATTCTACTGCTCTGGCTTTGATACAGGATTATTGCTGTTATTATCTACGGATGCTGCAACGGCTGCTGCTGCTGCTGCTGCTGCTGCTTCATACTGCTACTGCTGCTGCTGCTTCATACTGCTACTGCTACTGCTGCTGCTTCATACGGCTACTGCTGCTACTACTGCTGCTTCTGCTTCATTTACTTTGCCATCTCTCTTCACTTGCATCTCTTTTACTGAAACACTGAACAGCTACAACAACATTCTACTGCTGTGGCTTTGATACAGAATTATTACTGTTATTTTCTAAGGACGCTGCTGCTGCTGCTGCTGCCGCGGCTTGATACAGGACTATTGCTGTTATTATCTGAGGTTACTGCTGCTGCCGCTGCTGCTACTGCTACTGCTGCAACCCACTCTCTCAGAAGCTTACCCTGCTTCTAATGGATGCAGCCCGGCTGAGTATGCCGCGCTGCGCTGGACTCGCACCTATGCTCCCAGGGTCGCTTCGGCGGTCGTGCTTCATCTCTCTTCTTAATCTTCTGATTCTATCAGATGCAGCTGGCCAAGTAGCTGCGCTGAGCCGTCAATCGGACTCCTAATCAAAGGCATCCATACCTGTATTCTCCACTCTTCTGATTGCAGGCTCCCCATCATGCTGCCCATCCTGCAGCGGCGCTGAACTCCGGCTCATCTTCCAAGTACATGTCTGCCCTCCTCGCAGCATCTTCCTGCTCTCCTTCTATGGCTTCTCTGCATAAGCGTTTCACTACTGCTCACTCAACCTTCATGCGGTCCGAGACACGGCTTTCCCGACCATCCTACTGTCCTGATTATCTAATCTCCAACCCAAGATTCTAAGCGTAAGGGCGCCTGCAACATCAATGGCCCTCTCCGATATGTCTCTGCCCCTACAGGTCTCCGCTTCTACACGGACGCGGCCCCTTCCGTGGGTTTTGGGGGATTCTTCCAGGACCATTGGTTTGCCGAGCGTGGCCGCTACTTTCCACCGGAGCATCTCCTCTGCCCTACACGAGATATTCGCAGTGGTCGTGGCCTGCGCGCTGTGGAATCACACGTGGCAGAGAAAGAGGATCTCTGTCATGCGTGATAATCTCAACGTAGTGGAAGCATTAAACAAAGGTCGCTCTTTTTCACCCAACATAATGTCCCCTGACCATTTCAACCTCCGTCTCAAACATTCAAAAATCAAAGGAGCCTGCAATATAGTAATAACTCGCTCGGACACATCTCTCTGCCCCTACAAATCCATGATGCGTTAAAATCTCCTTTTTTGCAGCGGAGGCGAGTGTAACGGACCTCTCTTTCTCACTCCAGACATTCTTCCCATGACAGCAACCTGGTTCAGAGCTCAACTAAGATCCCTACTGCTCCTCTGTAAATTATCTCCCCAGCTCTACACAGCCCACTCCTTCAGGATAGGCGCTGCCACGCGCGCGGCCTCGCTGGGGCTCCCCCACACCTCTCTGCAACAGCTGGGGCGCTGGTCCTCTTCGGCCTTCTCCGCCTACATCAGGCCAGACGCGTCCGCCATCTTGGCTGCACAACGGCTACTGGCTTCCTCGTAAGCTCCCAGCAAAGCAATACAAAGCAAAGTAAGTGAACCAATAGGATTTCTGGTGGCGGCACGCACTTTTAAAGATAACTCTGCTACAGCGTCTGGTTGATCGTGATGCGAGCGCTCACGTCCCGGCGCTTAAAGATAACTCTGCTGCAGCGTCTGGTACCGATCGTGATGCGAGCACTCACGTCCCAGACAGCGTCCGGTTGATCGTGATGCGAGCGCTCACGTCCCGGCGCTCAAAGATACTCTGCTACAGCGTCTGGTATCGATCGTGATGCGAGCGCTCACGTCCCAGGCAGCGTCCGGTTGATCGTGATGCGAGTGCTCACGTCCCGGCGCTTAAAGACAACTCTGCTACAGCGTCTGGTATCGATCGTGATGCGAGCGCTCACGTCCCAGACAGCGTCCGGTTGATCGTGATGCGAGCGCTCACGGCCCGGCGCTTAAAGATAACTCCACTGCAGCGTCTGGTACCGATCGTGATGCGAGCGCTCACGTCCCAGACAGCGTCCGGTTGATCGTGATGCGAGCGCTCACGGCCCGGCGCTTAAAGACAACTCTGCTACAGCGTCTGGTATCGATCGTGATGCGAGCGCTCACGTCCCAGGCAGCGTCCGGTCGATCGTGATGCGAGCGCTCACGTCCCGGCGCTTAAAGATAACTCTGCTACAGCGTCTGGTATCGATCGTGATGCGAGCGCTCACGTCCCAGACAGCGTCCGGTTGATCGTGATGCGAGCGCTCACGTCCCGGCGCTTAAAGACAACTCTGCTACAGCGTCTGGTATCGATCGTGATGCGAGCGCTCACGTCCCAGGCAGCGTCCGGTCGATCGTGATGCGAGCGCTCACGTCCCGGCGCTTAAAGACAACTCTGCTACAGCGTCTGGTATCGATCGTGATGCGAGCGCTCACGTCCCGGCGCTTAAAGATAACTCTGCTACAGCGTCTGGTTGATTGTGATGCGAGCGCTCACGTCCCGGTGCGCAAAGATAACTCTGCCCGTTTTTGGGGATTATGCGCGCGAGCAAGCGCCGCACTCAACAGCATCTCTCCCGGGCCTAGGGCGCCAAACATACTCAATCAACAAACTTCTAACTGCATTTTCCCTCTTGGGTCTCTCCAAAGTGAAATGGAGCTCTTCGCGAAAATTCACTGTGGTAGACCCGGCCGCTGCCGCCAGATCTTCAAGCCTGCTCATCCTCTACTCATTACACCAGCAAAACGCCCACATCTAATCCACCAATAACCACCAGGACAGCAAGTTAAAAGCCGGAGACGCCCACTTCCCGGCCTTCTGAAGTTTGCAAAGCCTCCGCCGCCCCACCTCCTCCTTCTCTCATCGAAGCGTGCTTGCCTACTGCCTCTGCCGTCACCAGTGCCTAGGCCCCGGGGGGGATTATGCGCGCGAGCAAGCGCCGCACTCAACAGCATCTCTCCCGGGCCTAGGGCGCCAAACATACTCAATCAACAAACTTCTAACTGCATTTTCCCTCTTGGGTCTCTCCAAAGTGAAATACTGTCATGAGTGTGTGGTCCTCTGTGATGGTCATGTATTTATTCTATAGGTTTATTATATTCATATAGTCTATTGGTGCTATGTGTACTGGGTGCGGCTCTGACTGCCATCCCCCTGACCCAGAAATGGATTAAGGGGAAGAGAATGGAAAGATAGATATTCTAGGTATTTCATTAGATTTAGCTGATATTAGCATGGATGGATCTAAAAAAACAACTTTAGGTCTGTTTGCACGGGGGAACAATGTTGAAACATGGCCAAAAAGTTGATTTAGTAGAATATGTGAAGTCTTTTGTGGTAGTTGTGGATGATGTACTGTCTCCTCTCTGAGGGTAAAGCTGTTCCCTCTTCTTGGCAAAAGGCCTCCAGTTCCTGGGCCGCCTTGCATGAACTTCAACTCAACTTCAGCTCACTTTACAGCCGCAGCCGCCCCCTGTTGCACCTGGTGTTCCCATAGGTCACAGAACTAACCAGGTCACTGAAAGCTTGCTGTTCTAGATAACATTATATTACTGAAAATAGCTGTTAATTTTTAGCTTAATTAATTTTTTTCATTAATTTCATTAATTTTTAGCTTAATTAATTTTTTTCATTAATCGCGTTTAAAAAATTAACGCATTTGACGCATGCCCATGCGTCCCATAATAACACTCAGAATGCCATGGACACATGCGTGTGTAAGATGGGGACAGAGCAGGTCTCTGGGTATTGATGATGAGCTGCGGGCGCCACAGCGCTCTGGACCGTTCCCACTTCCAGCGGCTGTGATGACGGCGAACGGCGCTGCGTAATGGGATCACATCCAAGACCACGCACAGAACTATTACAGAACTATTCTCTAGTGTGCGTACGTGTCTTTGCGTAACCGATGCACACAACATGTACAGCGCTGAAGCTGGACTGCGGAGCCTCAGTCTCCTCCATGTCTTACCCCGAAGCGCACTCGCTAAATTAAAGCTGAGGTACCTAATTTTCCTTTCGACCATCAGTTCATGTTAGTTGTGCCAAAAAAAGTAATGGTGTGAGCAAATCAAACAGATTTAATGACATTCTGCTTCAGACTATTTTGAAACTTCCCTCATCTGTAACAAACAATGGTTTTGGTCTGAGTCTAAACAAAAAGACAGAATGTTAATAATGTTACAGTAATTCCATTTTATATGGATTTATTGTTATAACAAATAAATGACAGCTTAGTGAACATATATACTGTATTTATCTTTCCATTCAAACAACAATTTACAGAAAAATATGGCATAATTTTGCCAATAGTTTGAAATGTGATTAATTACGATTAATTAATTTTTAAGCTGTAATTAACTCGATTAAAAAAATTAATCGTTTGACAGCCTTAGTTTTTTTTATTCTGGAACAATGCCTGGACATGATATTGATAACGGTTTTATCATAATTATATTTGAGTCCTGGATTTGCAGCCTGTTCGTCCGGGGGAGCTGATCCTCCTCCTCGCCCACACGAGTTTTCTAACTTTTATCCATTTTAGTTATGGTTCCTTGCCAAAGCAGGAGGGTATAGACATTTCACATTCACATTTATGGACAGTTGTCCTCCCGCTCTCTATGGACCAATACCTAAGTTTCTGTTATTATTGCATTTCCTGTGTCCAAAACGTTTAATTCTCTGATCTTTTGTTGGTGAATGTACAAGTCCTGATATAGGGCTGTACAAAAAATAAATTGAATTGAATTAGATAATAATGTGTCTCCTTCACGGTGTGCGGTGTAGACAGTGTTTGGGTTTGTGGTTCTCTGACCTGCTCCAGGCTGAAAGTGCGGCAGAACTGGGATCAGTATCTGCTGCAGAAACAGAGGACTGCTGTTCATGTGGATGGTGCCAGAGAGGAGGCCCCCGAAGTAGTAGATGTATCTGTGATCACCACAAGAGACAAAAGAGAAGCAGGGGCAGTGTTTTAGATGGGATTAAGGAGCTTGTTTGTATACAGTGCCTTGCGAAAGTAATCGCCCCCCTTGAACCTTTCAACATTTTGCCACATTTCAGGCTTCAAACATAAGATATAAAATTTTAATTTTTTGTCATGAATCAACAACAAGTGGGACACAATCGTGAAGTGGAACAAAATTTATTGGATAATTTAAACTTTTTTAACAAATAAAAAACTGAAAAGTGGGGCGTGCAATATTATTCGGCCCCTTTACTTTCAGTGCAGCAAACTCACTCCAGAAGTTCAGTGAGGATCTTTGAATGATCCAATGTTGTCCTAAATGACTGATGATGATAAATAGAATGCACCTGTGTGTAATCAAGTCTGCTCCTGCTTATCTGCAGTTCATCCAGAGCGATCATGGGCCTCTTGGCTGCATCTCTGATCAGTCTTCTCCTTGTTTGAGATAATAATAATAATAATAATCTTTATTTATATAGCACTTTTAAAAACAGTGTTTACATAGCGCTGCACAGTCATCATGATAAACAATAAAAGCAGTCATAATGCAAGGTCAAAATAATTAAATACAGAAACACAAAGCAAACAGAGCAAAACACAAAAGAGACTCAACAAAGACAAAGCAGACAATAAAATACAGCATCGGAAGTTTAAAACTAACAGTTAAAAGCTGTTTGATAAAAGTGGGTTTTAAGAAGAGATTTAAAAGAGGATACTGATGGTGCTAGCCTTATCTCCTCGGGCAGGTCGTTCCAAAGCCGAGGAGCCCGGACAGAGAAGGCTCGGTCACCTTTCGTCCGGAGCCTCGACCTTGGAACAGTCAACAGGGACCTGCCCAAGGATCTAAGGCTGCGGGGGGGCTCGTAGGGGGTTAAAAGTTAAGAAATATAGCTGGGTGCCAGACCTAAACGAGCTTTAAAAGTAATCAGTAAAATCTTAAAATCAATTCTAAAACGCACAGGGAGCCAGTGGAGAGACGCTAAAACAGGGGTGATGTGCTCCCTTCTGTTAAAACCAGTGAGAAGTCTGGCTGCTGCGTTCTGGACCAGTTGGAGGCGGGAGAGGGATTTAGCGTCGAGATCGGAGAGGATGGAGTTGCAGTAGTCGAGGCGGGAGAAGACGAGGGCGTTGACAACTTTATGGAGATCGGGAGGAGTGAGGATGTTTTTAATCTTTGAGATTGTGCGGAGGTGATAGAAGCAGGTTTGGGTGGTTTTATTGATGTGGGAGCGGAAAGTGAGGTGAGAATCAAAAATGACACCAAGGTTACGGGCGGAGGGAGTGATGTTTGAGGAAAGGGGGCCGAGGTGGGTTTGGATGTGGGATATAGATGGAGGCGGGTTGATGAGGAGGACTTCAGATTTGGAGGTGTTGAGCTGTAGAAAGTTATGGGCCATCCAACGGTTCACATCGTTAAAACAGTCGACCACAGCAGCCAGACTTCCAGGGTCGTTTGGTCTCAGCGGGAGGTAGATCTGTGTGTCGTCCGCATAGCAGTGGAAGGACACGTTATGACGGGCCATAACGTGTCCTAGGGGGAGCATATAAATAGAAAATAAAATGGGACCTAAAATAGAACCTTGCGGCACACCACAGGTAATGGGGGCTGTAGAGGAGGTAAAATCACCCATGGTGACCGCAAAGGTTCTGTCTAAAAGATAAGAATGAAACCAACCAAGTGCAGTATCTCTGATGCCAACCCACGTTTTGAGGCGATCCAATAAAATCCTGTGGGTCGATCGTGTCGAAGGCTGCGCTTAGGTCTAAAAGAATTAAAATAGAGCACCCTCCGCTGTCTGTGGTTAAAAGAAGGTCATTTAAAACTCTAAGGAGGGCTGTCTCTGTACTGTGTTGTGCTTTAAAACCTGATTGGAATTTCTCAAAGATGTGGTTCTCATTAATAAAATCTAAAATCTGAATTGAAACAATTTTCTCTAAAACTTTGGATAAAAAAGGAAGTTTTGAAATGGGTCTAAAATTGTTAAAATCAGTAGTGCTTAAATTAGGCTTCTTTAAAAGTGGCTGGACCACAGCATGTTTAAAACTGGATGGGACAAGACCTTCGTCCAGGGACTGATTAATGATTGATAAAATGGAGGGTCCAACCACATTAAAAACATCTTTGAGAAATTTGGTGGGGATGACATCGAGGCTGCACGTGGTTGGTTTCATGTGGAATAAAATGTCAGATAAAAGAGAAAGGGATAAAGGCATAAAATTAGTAAAACAATTAAAATCCAGAGTTTCTCTGTCTATAAAAATTGCTTGGCTGGGAGCAGATATTTTGGCCCGGATATCAGTGATCTTTTTGATAAAATGATTTAAAAATTGTTCACACAGCTCAGTGGGTGCATCATTAAAAACAGCAGGACTGGGGTTTGTGATAGAATTTAAAACTTGAAATAAAACTCTAGGATTTGAAATGTTTTGACTGATGGTATTTGAATAAAATAAGGTTCTTGCTTCCTTGACTACGTGTTGATATTGTTTGAGGCTGTCTTTCCAGGCGAGGTGAAATACTGTGAGTTGTGTCTTTTTCCATTTCCGTTCATATTGTCGGCAGGTGCGTAATAGTGTGCGAGTATTTTCATTGAGCCATGGTTGTGGTGTTCTGGTGGGGTTTCTTTGTTTAAAAGGTGCAATGGTGTCTAAAATCCTAAGTGATGTCTAATAAAAGGAGGAGACATGCTCCTCCAGGCTAAAATGTTGGTTAAAAGTAGTCAAGGAAGCTGCGGTAAAAAGTTGGGAAAATTTAAGAGCAGAGGCGGAGTTAAAAACACGAGAGTGATAAAATGACCCGCTGGAGGCAGGCTGGGGGGCTAAAATAACGTCAAATAAAATAGCTAAGTGGTCCGACACACAGATATCCTTGGTGTTGACATTTCCTGCGCTGAGGCCAAACATTAAAACCAGATCCAGTGTATGGCCCTTAGAATGAGTGGGGACATTTACTATTTGGAGGAGATTAAAAGACTCGATTAAATCAATAAAATCAGAGGTTAAAGGGTGTGGTTTGAGGGGGCAGCAGACATGAATGTTAAAATCACCTAGGATTAAGACTTTGTTGTAGAGGGCCATACACTGGGATAAAAGATCAGAGAATTCTTGAATAAAAACAGGGCTGGGTTTAGGGGGTCTATAAATAATTAAAACAAACACAGGGATATTACAAGAAATGATAAAAGACAGGTGTTCAAATGAAGTAAAAACATTCTGGATACCAGGAGTGCATTTAAAAGTGTTCTTAAAAATAGCTGCAACCCCCCCTCCCTTCCCTGACAGGCGTGGCTGGTGGAGGAAGGTGTAGTCCGGGGGGGTCGCTTCAATGAGGGGGGTGCAGTCGCCTTGCACTTGCCATGTTTCTGTTAAAATCATGAAGTCCAGGTTGTTGTGAGTGATGAAGTCCTGACAGAAGAAGGATTTATTGTTGATGGATCTGATGTTTAAAAGTCCAAAGATTGTAGGTGAGGGGTCCAAAGTGGGGGCTGTAGAGGAGCAAAGGGGAACCGGGATGAGACAGGGGAGGGAGAGTTCCCTGGAGGAGGTCCTGTGGGATCGGGGTCTGGAGATGACAGGGATTGACTGAGGGGAAGAGCAGGGGCTGGGTCGATGACAAGGGGGGAGAGGAGGTAATGCGGAGGGTGAAGAGGCAGATAGTCAGATGAAGGTGGTGTGGGACTGTACTGAGTGGATGATGTTGGATGTGAGGAAACGATTACCAAGGGGGTTGATATGGAGATGAAAGTTTGGAGGGACGGCCAGGTCTTGGTAGATTTGCAGTGGTCTGATACTCCTTCCATTTCAATATAATTGCTTGCACAGTGCTCCTTGAGATGTTTAAAGCTTGGGAAATCTTTTTGTATCCAAATCCGGCTTTAAACTTCTCCACAACAGTATCTCGGACCTGCCTTGTGTGTTCCTTTGTCTTCATGGTTCTCTCTGCGCTTTAAACAGAACCCTGAGACTATCAAAGAGCAGGTGCATTTATACGGAGACTTGATTACTCACAGGTGCATTCTATTTATCATCATCAGTCATTTAGGACAACATTGGATCATTCAAAGATCCTCACTGAACTTCTGGAGTGAGTTTGCTGCACTGAAAGTAAAGGGGCCGAATAATATTGCACGCCCCACTTTTAAGTTTTTTATTTGTTAAAAAAGTTTAAATTATCCAATAAATTTCGTTCCACTTCACGATTGTGTCCCACTTGTTGTTGATTCATGACAAAAAATTTAAATTTCATATCTTTATGTTTGAAGCCTGAAATGTGGCGAAATGTTGAAAGGTTCAAGGGGGCCGAATACTTCCACAAGGCACTGTAGCACAAGATAGAAACAATCATTAATTAATTAATAATTAATAAGGAGAGTTACGATACAATCCTTCAGTTGTATGCACAGCTAAACACCTGGATTTGAACATTGTCGGAGTCTCACATTTTCATGGTGACAACAATTTCTGGCTGGGTGTGTGAACTCTACAACGATAACTACAGTATATGTTACTGGTATTGGGAATGCGGCTCCCCAAATGAGACCCATTCTGGGTAAAATCGTAAAAGTCCTTTCTTTCTGCACAGAGATGAAGACTCCAGAGGTGTCTACAGCCCCGTTTCCACCAGCCCTACTTGACCCTCTCTACTCAACTCTACTTTTCCCTGATTCTGAATGTTTCCACCGGCCCTGTTTAATCAGAACCAGCTACTTTTTCCCTGTAAACTGGTTTGTTGTAGGTAGGTTGCTAGGACACAGTACCAGATACTGGAGCGGAATGGAAACACAACCAGGTACAGTAGAGCTGAGTAGAGTCGGGCCAAGCAGGGCTGGTGGAAACGGGGCTCTTTTAAAAGTATTTTTGTGAGTTTCACCTGTTCTGAGACGGCTGCAGAGACGAGGACACTTTGTCTTCGCAGAACTTCCTCATGGCTAAAGTGGTCAGGGCCTGGTCCGCTCTGGACAACAATAACACAGGATGTAATCAAAGAAATAATCACTGAGACATAGGAGCTGTAATGTCCAATAAGAATGTCTCTTTCACACATGGAACAGCACCACTCACAGGTGTTTTATGGCGGTAGTGACCTGAAGACACTGTGTACAAGATGGCGGACAATAATACATTTATCTTTAAACAATGAAGCAACATCCAATCCACTTTATTTGCGTGGCACATTTTAAAAACAGGAACAAAGAGATAATTCAACCATAAAAAAATCACAAACACGTCTGCCAATTTAAATGCACAAATGAAATGCAACAAAATGTAGCTATTCATGAAAATAATAATTATAATTAATAAATGCATGTTTTGACAAATAAATACACATAATCGCTATCTATAAAAAATAATAAAAAAGATTAGAAAAACACAAAAAGACAAAAGAAGAGGACACAAGTCAAGCTGTGTGTGTTTAGTGGTTTTAAAATGTCACTTTCAGGTCCAGGACAACACTGTCACAGTTGTTACATTTTACTTAAACTTTATAATTACTGTTGAATTGTTACCCTGCAGAGATCTTGCTGTAGTGCATGTAGGCCGCGATGATCACTCCGGTCTTCCCTTTGTTTCCCTGGAAATATTAAAATGAAGCAATATCATTGACAGATTTACTCGATAACTTCAGATCTAAAGCAGGTCTAAACTACAATTAAACCAGGACAGACCCGTATCTAAACTAAATCTGAACGAAATCTAAACCAGGTCTAAAGCAGATCTAAACTAAATCTGAACCAGGTCTAAAGCAGCTCTAAACTAAATCTGAACCAGGTCAGAACCAGGACAAAACCAGGTTGAAACCAGGTCAAAACCTGGTCAAAACCTTGTCTGAACCAGTAATTTACCTTGCATTGTAGGACCACCACATTCTGTGGGTCTTGTTGGATCCAGCTCTCCATGGCTTTACACACAGAGCAGATCCGGTCCAGAGGAGGAGCGTGGAGGTCCGGCCAGCCAAAGTCCTGCACCTGAACGTCCACAGGGACCAGCGTGAGTCCGGGTGGAACTAAAGCTCGTGCTAGAATGTGCGTTTCTATCATGATTTTGCGTTCACTGCATCTTCACTGTAGCTACCTTACTGTGGTGGAGTTTACACAAGACTTTACAAAGCATAAGAATACGGAGTACAGTACGCCAAGTGATACTTGATTGTCCCCGTAGGAAAATGTGTCTTCTGCATTTGACCCATCCTGCAATGCCACAAGTGCCTCTGTCAGGAGCAGTGGTCTCCACAGAGAAGCACCCAAAGCCCATCTCCAGATGTTAATGCTCTTGGTCGGATTTGGCCATGTTTTTAGTGGCACAGGAAACCGGAGCACCTGGAAGAACCTATGCAGATGTGACGAGAACATGCCAACTCTACTCAGAAAAGCCCTGTTACGACTGGGATTTGAACTCAGGAACTTCTTGCTGAGTAGCGAGAGTGCCAACCACTCAGCCACCCAATGTATATACGTATAAGATTACTGTGTATTTTTGTTTTAGAATATTTATTGATATAAGCTCTGGAAACCAGCATTGCTGTCACTGAAATGACATAGTGCTTTATAAGCGTAAATCTTTTTAACTTACATTGACAAATATCCACCTAAACCAATTCTAAACCAAGACTGAACCAGGTTTGAACCAGGTATATACCATCTCTAAACTAGGTCTGAACCAGGTCTGAACCTGGTCTAAACCAGGTTCGAAACAGGTCTAAACAAGCTCTGAACTGAGCTCTGCCGTCATTGAAATGAAAGTGCTTTGTAAATGTAATTTGTCACCTTTATTTGATTATTGACAAATATAACATTGACATGTTTTGTGTGTCAGTTCTTACTTTTGCATTGAGCTTGGTGATGTCATGTCTTTTCTCTGATAAATTTAGAAGCTGAAACACAGTGAAACCAGACGTTACAAATCTCCTTCCATAAACTCCATTGGGACGAGCGTGGACGCAGGTTGCTGACCATATACTTGTCGTGGTGCTTGTTCTTGAGCATCAGCGCCACCTCCTGGATGTTGTGGTGGTACTGCGGCTCGTCCAGCTCCGGGAAGAACACAGAGATGATCCTCTCTGTGATGTAGGTCAGATCAAAGTCATATCTCTGCTCCATCACGTGCTCCACACTCCGACTCCTGCACATGAGGAGGACCGCGAGAACTTTAGACATCACAGTTATATAGATTCACACAGGTAGCATTCATGTGACATCACAAGTCAGGTTTCTAGTCAAAGTTTAGCGTTCATTTATCTGTAATTCCTGGGTCAATTTACATGAAACAAAAAGTGTAATACATATCAACTTTGGTTCTAGTTTTTTCTCACAAAAGGTGTCTAGAAGTGGTGACAATATTCAAAAACAGATGCTATATGTCGGCCATTAGAGAGAACTTTAAGGCGTAAGAATAATATGGAGGCTTTCTGAATCTACGTGATCACTGTCAAATAATGATCTTCCTTCAAAAATATCTTCTTTCTTGTAGAGTTGTAACAGCTCCTCTCCAAAAAACTGAAATAGAATTTTACAACATGAACGCAACCTATAGCACCGGAGATAAACCAGAAAATACAGTACAGACAAAAGTTTGGACACACTTTCTCAATCAATGAGTTTCCTTTCTTTTCATGACTATTGACTGTAGATTCACACCCAGGCTGTGTAAGGGCTGTTTGACCAATAAGGAGAGTGATGGTGCTGGGCCAGATGACCCGGCCTCCACAGTCATCGGACCTGACTTTTGAGCGGCTTGTGCTGGACTCAGGGCTGGACTGGGACAAAAAAACGGCCCGGGCATTTTTTCCTTCTTAGCGGCCCAGGCAACTCAAAAGGTTCAATTTGACAAAATAAACTAAAGACAACATCTGTCTGGAGCCGCAAAAAAAACAAAACAGCGTTGTATAAGGCTTGCATGAAGGTAACAGGGGCTGAAGCTGTATTAGCTACATTAGCTATATTAGCCTAATATCTAAATGACAAAGTAAAGGCTACAAACACATAAAAACCATTCATGATTATCAAATGTGTATTTTCATTGCAGCGTGTCCTGGAGAGAATGACGCACCACGTGACAACTCTGCTTTAACTTGAACTTTCATGCAATTGTACAAATACAGTAAATAAATCTGCTTTTTGGCTCCGAGTTCACCTGCATCACTGTCTGCTCATATCCATCACATCACAGGCTGAAGTTTGCTGGAGCTGAATGTCCTTAATGGCCTTTTCTTTCACCGTCTTTGCGAAGGTATTTTAAGTCTGAAAATAGGTGCTCTGACTTTATGATGAATGAATCTTTCAGTGAACGGTGTTTAAAGCTTCATTGTTCCTCCTGTTGCAACAAAACTTCTCATTACATCTCAAACATGAAGCAGTCCTTCCTCATTGACTGAAAGCAAATGTTCATTCTCATTCTTAGTCCAGTCTTATCGACTCTTTCTCTTTTTCTTTGGGATCCATGCGCACACACAGTTAAAATTGAATATTACTTATACAAGTTTTTGCAGCATTGAAAAACGTTAAGAATGTTTTTCCTCCTACAGAAACCACATTCAAACTAGAAATAAAATATAGCCCTCACACTCCATTTTCAGACATTTTTGAAAAGGCTCCAGGAGCCACTTTAGGGGCACTAAAGGTTGCCAACCCCTGGTTTATACAGTATGTGGAAGCAAATACTGTAGAGGATCAGGATGTCTGCAGTTTCAACAATAACATAAAGTACAATAGTCTACATTAAACAGAGTAATAAACATGTCTCAGAGTGAGGCAGGTGACACAGACAATACTATTGTTTGTTACAGGGATGAGAATTGGTCAAAAAAGACTGAAATGCATATTGTCAGCCATTTGCTGGCTCTAAATCTGTTTAATCTGTTCACAACATTTTACTTTTGGGCTCAAACATGAACTTTTAATGCAATGGAAAATTTAGGTACCCGAGCTTTAATTTAGAGGAGAGGGGAGACGCGGACTGTTTTCTGCAGCCGTGTATTTATTGGGTGCACAAATTACGAAAAGACATGCATGGTCCTGTGCGCGTTTATGGTCTTGGGTACATGGCCACGTTGCGGCTACGCGCTCGCCGTGTTGTGTTGTGAGCGGCTCGCGGCTCGCGGTTCCCGCTGGATGCGGGAACACTGCGGCCGCTGAGGTGGTGGAATCCCGTTCGAGTACATACAGCAGGTGCCCCGCGGACACGCGCGCTCCCCTCAAACATTTCTCAACGGATTTACACTTTTCACAAACATGTTTTTTTGTATGAGGCAGACAGACCGGCCCAAATATGGGCATCGGCCCTTCGGGCATTGCCCGGTACGCCCGATGGCCAGTCCAGCCCTGGCTGGACTTCATTAAGAGCCAGGTCCCTGTGAGTGTTGACCCGCTCCAGTTTGCTTACAGACAGAACAGGAGTGTGGAGGATGCCATCTCCTTTGCTCTGAACTCTGTCTACAGTCACTTGGACACTAGTAAATCTGTCGCGAGAATGCTTTTCATCGATTATAGCTCTGCTTTTAACTGCCTTGTCCCAGGTAAACTGATTGAAAAGCTCATGTCTCTCGGTTTAAGTGTTGCTATGTGTAAATGGATTTTTAGCTTTTTAACTGACAGATCTCAGAGAGTGAAAATCAATGACTGTTTTTCTGATGTTGTTTCTGTGAGCACTGGTTCTCCTCAGGGATGTATTTTGAGTCCTTTGCTTTTTACTTTGTACACTCACGATTGTGTGTCCTCCTCTGACTCAAACTTAATCATCAAATATGCTGATGACACCACCATCATCGGTCTCATCAGTAACAATGATGAATCCTCTTATAGAGCAGAGATACAAAATGTGGTTCAGTGGAGTAAAACTAACAACCTCCAGTTGAACGCATCGAAAACATGTGAACTGGTCTACGTCAGCGTCTCTACTTCCTGCGTAAACTTAGAGAATTTACCACTAACTCTAAGATTCTGCTTAACTTTTATCACTGCACCATTGAGAGTTTACTTGTTGGTTCTGTGTCTGTGTGGTTTGGAAACATCACAGATAAAGAAAAGAGAGCTTTAAACAAGGTGCTCCGCTCTGCAAAGAGGACCGTGGGCTGTGAGCTTCCTGTTCTGGAGGTTCTTTATAAATCCAGACTTTTAAACAAAGCTCTTAGGATTGTCAATGACTCTTCTGGCCACCCTGGGAAAGCCTTGTTCAAGCCTCTTCCCTCTGGCAGAAGATATCGCTCTCTGAGATGCAGGACATCTCGTTACGCTAACAGTTTTTATCCACAAGCTGTTATCAGTGTGAACAGAGCACTTTAATGATTTGCACTTGTTTTGAGTGTTTTAGTCGATCGATTTCACAGTGACATTTGTTTACTGTTTTATTTGTTTTATTTCTGTCTTTTAATGTTGTTTTATGTCTGTATTTGTCTGTGCACACTGGAGACTTTTTACTAATGTATTCCAATGTGGTGTTTTTACTGCAAATGGCAAATAAACTGAATCTGAATCTGAACCCAATCCAGATGGTTTTGGCGTGAGAGTGAAGGTGAAAGGGCCAACAAGTGCTACAGTAAGCATCTCTGGGAACTCCTTCAAGAGATGCACCATGTGCACTTGTATATTGTAAATAGTAACTGTAACTATATTTAAAATTTAAATTTATTCTTTAGAAGTGTTTTTTTTATTCTTATTTTTATTATCTCTTTCTGACTGTTGCACTGAGCCAAAGCAATTTCCAAGTTTGTGACCTCCTGTTACTTACGTGGCAATAAAAATGATTCTGATTCTGATTCTGAAGACTGTTGGAAGACCATTTCAGGTCACTACCTCTTTAAGCTCATCAAGAGAATGCCAAGAGTGTGTGAAGCAGTAATCAGAGCAAAAGGTGCTTCTTTGAAGAACCTAGAATATAAGACATATTATCAGTTGTTTCGTACTTTTTTTTTTTTTAGGTACGTACAGAATTCCATATGAGTTAATTCATAGTTTTGAGGCCTTCAATGTGAATCTACAATTTTGAAAGTCATGAAGATAAAAAAACTACTGTATGTAATCTAAATTTTTTGGAATCAAATTGGATTTAGCCCTAAATCACAACAGTAGTTATCTCGGAGGACTTTACAAAACCGTTGAATTTGCCAACACAGATCAGAGAATCAAACACGAGAAATTAAATGACACAAAACACACAGAGCAATTGGTCGATGAGGAGCAGATGACTGATGTTCATAAATGTTGTTAAATGTCAAGTGTCCTGGATCCTCACCACTGTCCTTTGACCCTCCTGCACCAGCAAGGAAAAATTCTAGAAAAAAAACTCTTTGGGAAAACGAGAGAAACCTCGGGGAGAACCACACTGAGACAGGGATCCACTCCCACGGACAGATTGGCTAGAGATCCAGGACTTATGAGCTCTCTTTTATTTGAAACATGTTTTTTGCCGTGCTGGTACTTTTTTAGTTCCGGTCCCTATTTGCAGTCCACTCATAGAGAAAGAACTTTTGTTAAGCCTTAAGTGTGGTTCTAAAGACTTCATTGATCATTGGTGTGTATTGACGTACCTTGGGAGGGAGCCTCTCTTCTTCAGGGACGACGATCTACTGCTGCAGCCGAGCTACGAAGAAAACTCAATTAAAACAACATTTGAAATAATGTCTGTGTCACGTAATTGAATAAAAATGGTTGAATTAGAAAACCATAATTGTATTCCCGCTAACAACAAGTCCATTGTTTATAGCAATGTTTATCATTGATGTGTTAGAAATATGAACATTACTACCATTCAATCCAAGAGTGTATTATTTTTGGACACTCACCTGGTCGAGAGCTGACGGACACGAGGACAACACCTGAAACCAGAGACAACAATTTAAAGTTTGTGCAACAAACTCGACCCATTTTTTGATCAGCTTTAAGAGAAACCAACTGTTGAATAATCAAACACATCAAGCTTGAACATGATCAAGCTTTACTGTACATCAAATGTCTCCTTCTGTCTATAAGCTCATATTATTTATTTCAAAACCCGCAAAACACAATTTTACAGAACAGGAAGAACAAAACAACAGAATAACAGTTTTGACAAAGAGGTTGAATAAAGGAGGGGCGACAGTAGCTCAGTTGGTAGAGCATTGGCCTTATGGCCAGAAGGTTGTGGGTTCAATTCCCACCTCTGCACCTTCTCCACCGACTCCCACTGATGACTGCTGTCGTTGTGTCCTTGGGCAAGACACTTAACCCCACTTTGCCCAAAGCCCCCGCTGCAAGATCAAGGCTATGCTCAACTCAGAGCAGCCGTCCTCCTGTGGACTCACCACCTGCAGAGGGTCAGTGAGGGGCTGGTGAGACTTGGGTGGCATCTCTGACTGCCACCCCCCTGACCCAGAAATGGATTAAAGGGTAGAAAATGGATGGATGGATGGATGGATGAATAAAGGAAAACTTTGTAAACTTCCAAACCCCTCTCACCAACAGTCTCTCAACACAGAGACCTTTTTTATATTATTAAACAAGAAACAACAAAGTAAATAGTCTACAATGGTCATAAATAACACATCATACGTCTCCTTTAAGGGCCACACCTCTGAACTTGTGAATGGACAGTTCCTGTTGTAATTATTGCGTCGCATTCTGGTGCAGGAATATCCCAGACATGCAGTGATTGACAGGTGATAGTGTGTGAAGCTTTAACTCTGACCACACGGTTTGACTGACAGCGGCATGTGGGGGGTCAGCAGGAGGTCAGGAACTCTGGGCAACAACAAACTACAACAAACAACAACTCGGAGCCGGAAATATAAAACGTCACTTTGAAAGAGTGATCTCTGCGCGGCGACAGAGACCTCACTGGCTCTGGTTCTGTGGGTGAGGTCTTTACTGGTGCTGAGCAAGAGCACAGTATATAGATGACATCACCACTCAGACAAACTCACATCAATTCAATTTCAATTAAATGTATTCTTGTATAGCCGTAAATCATAACAGTAGTTATCTTGGAGGACTTTACTAAAGCGTTGAATTCACCAACACAGATTAGAGAAACAAACAGTTCAAACACAAGAAATGCAATGAGAAAAAACACATAGAGCCGTTGGTCCATAAAAGGCGGGAGACCAATGTCTATAAATGTTGATTAACTCCATAATCCACTTCACTCCTTAAAGTTGGGGAACCTAATTTTTTCTCTTCAGTATAACTATTTTACCAGCTGACAAAGGCAGATGCACAGTTATCCTCAACAGCTCAGACTATGAGGCCAAAGTTAATCAGTTACTCTTGGACACCAACACGTACCATCCATTAAAGAGGGACCCTACCAGCGGGTTTAGGAAAAATATTATAGACTTCCTTCAGAGCTTAGTGAAAGAGGGCATTATTGAAAAACCACTATATTACAAACTTTACCCAGGAGACACCATTCCCAGTATATATGGACTCCCAAAAATACACAAACAAAACTTTCCACTTTGGCCTATTGTATGTAGCATAGACTCTATCACCTACAACCTGGCTAAACACCTCAAAACCATTCTGGCTCCTTTGGTGGGTAACACCCACCATCACATAGAAAACACAAAAGAATTTGTAAATCAAATCCAACACCTCCAGTTTGACACAGATGAGACAATGGTCTTGTTTGATGTGACATCGCTTTTTACGTCGGTCCCTATTACAGAGGCAGTGGAGGCTGTAAGAGAAAGCCTACAGAAAGACGCCACACTAGGGGAGAGAACGAAACTAACAGCTGACCACATCTGTGAAATACTTGAAATGTGTCTTAACACCACGTATTTCCAATTTAGAGGCACCTTCTTTAGACAGATTCATGGCTGTGCGATGGGTTCCCCAGTCTCTCCTATAGTGGCCAATCTGTATATGGAGAAACTGGAGGAACAAGCCCTGGTCTCTTACCAAGGGACAACGCCAAGCCATTGGTTTTGTTATGTAGACGATACATGGGTTAAGTTAAAGAAACAGGAAGTGGAACCATTTTCAGAACACATTAATTCGGTGGACCCTTTTATAAATTTCACTCATGAGGATGCTAAGGAGAGTGAACTCGCCTTTCTAGATTGTAAGGTCATCATACTGGAGAACGGACAATTAGAGACTGAGGTCTTCAGAAAGTCCACTCACACTGACCAGTACCTGGCCTTTGATTCAAATCATCCGCTACAACACAAACTCGGGGTCATTAGAATGCTTCAACACTGAGCCCACCAGGTCCCCACAAGCTCGGAGGGAAAGAACAGAGAAACCAAACATGTTCAGAGAGCACTTTCCAGATGTGGCTACCCCAAGTGGTCTTTTAATAAAGCCCAAAGGACGAGAAAGGCCAGAGACACAGTCCAACAGACAGAAGAAAGTAGGAGGAGAGGGGTGTCCTTACCGTATGTGGCAAGAGTTTCAGAGAAACTACAAAGAATCTTTAGGCAACACATAATCCCTGTGTATTTCAAACCTTTCAACACGTTAAGACAGAAATTAGTGCATCCTAAAGACAAAACACCCAGACACAAACAGAGCAATGTGGTGTATTCAATTAAATGTAGTGAAGAGGAGTGCACGGACCACTATATTGGAGAAACCAAACAAACTGAAGAAGATGGCATAGTCTGGGATCGCGTCTTTCATTCAGACAGAAGACATGTTTTATTGTCGATGGTAGAGACAGCACGATCAACAGATACAACAGAATGCAAGTGTATTATACAGAGCGGAGGCATGGAGACCTCCAATCAGCAGCTGCCACGGTGTGCTTGTAGCTTGGCCTTCAGATAGACAAAACAAGGGAAAAGTACTGGCTTCTGCACATTGATAGATTGATGAGTTTAACTTTAACAAAAGTTGCTTCAAAGTGTTATGAAATCTCACAAAACTCTACAGAAACGACTTTACCAACATCGTAGAGAAAACTCTAGTGGGCCACAGTCGGCTGTTCATCTGCACCTCAAGGCCTCCAACCACACGGTGGATGACACAGAGGTTAAAATTCTGGCTCGGGAGAAGAATTGGTTTGAGAGAGGGGTGAAAGAAGCCATTTTTGTGAGGAAACAAAAACCTTCTCTTAACAGAGGAGGAGGGTTAAGATTTGTTTTGCCTCGCATCTATGACGACATCCTAAAAACAACGCCCTAACTTGGGACAAGGTCTGTGACATGCTGATGAGTTAGGAGGGGTGAGACCTGCACTCCACTTGAGCATCCCAGCAGACAATAGGTCTGTGACATGCTAAGGAGTTAGGGTCGTTAGCTTCAGCAGGGTCGTTAGATCTGCTCCCTCTACATCAAGCAGACCTTAGATTGTTTATGAGTTAGTATCAGGATTAGGGTGTGGCTAACCACACCCATAGGTTATAAATCTCCAACGAGCGGTCTGAGAATTCATTCCCTGAAGAAGTCCTTAGGATTGAGGACGAAACGTCGGGAAAACTTGCTAAGAAGAAGTACAGATGATGGGTGAGAAACCTTCCTTTGCTAGAAGAAAGTGAACTAAAGATGAATCCATCAGATGATTGTTTCTTGTGGTTGTTCGGACATGTCCACATTCCTATGCACATCCTAATTATTCTCCATCCAACACTGTATTTTCCTTTGTCTTCTGAATATTTCATTGCGATGACGGATTCGGCGGTGCGTGAAAAGTGACATTTAAGTTACATGGATCCCTGTCCTCCGCGGAGAATGCACATGTTAGCTCAGCCAAGCACATGATAGACACAAAATCACGTTAGGACACAAGAGGAAGACGAGCCAAACGGGGTGAAAAAGCCACGACAAAATAATTTACTTCATGGAGACAAGAGGAAAGAAGTGACGGGCTAATGCAGTTTACTGATCAAGCCCAAAATGGCCTCGATCTAACTGGAGTTTAGAGTGGAATTTTTTAAGCAGAGGTTACAAACTTTTTATCATAAATAACACATTTAGCTTTTCCTGACAGAAAGAGTGTTATAAAAGTAAAATGAGACCACAACATGCTGTCGTCATCTTATTAGAAGAAAAAAAATTACGCATTCTTTTTATTCATAAAAAAATAAAATTAGACCATCTACATGTCATGTTTTAGAAATAATATCTTAAGCATAAACTATAGGGTGAAACAAGTATGAAGATAAAAAAGGCTGTCTGTCTGTAACTCCTTATACTACCACCGTTGCTAAGCTATTTTTCATTATATAAGTAAAAAAATACCAGCTACAAAAACACACATGTAAATAATTTAAATTCACTTGAGAAATGGCCAAAACTAATTTAGGGCAATATTTTAGTTTAGTGTGATATCATCGAGGTACAATGACATCATACTATCACAGGACTGAGACAGAAGTAGCCTGACGTTAACCATCCGTACACTCCGCTCAATCATAATTTTCCTGCATGTAACGTCTGGGTCTGGTCCCTGTGTAGGCGATTACAATCGGTTGAATTCCATCCGACCAATCAGAGAGCGCGGAAGGCAGGTGTTGTAGTTGTGGGTGACGTCAAGAGTTTGTGCAGGACGGGCAGGTTGCAGTTTGGCAATGGCGAAACATGCGATAGTAAAGTAATCCGGTCTGATTCTATCAAGAAATTGAAGCCAGAGCAAGAGGAATGTTTAGCAAATGTGATCGCTGGCAAAAATTGTGGCGCAACTCCTCACGGGCTCCGTTAGCGGCAAAGGAGATGGCTAGGCTAAATGTAGGTAAACTCAGATCCAATCGTTTCAATCTGCAAAATGAGGTAAGGTAACCCCTCCCACCTGTTCACGGAGCTCAATGGATCACCTCCGGACCTTAGTACGAAATGTAATTTGTACTATGGTGGGGTACGACCAGGCTAAGACAGAAGGAGTGAAGTTACATGTATTT